AGTAGTGTAGAAACAAAGAAAAAGAAAAAAAACTTTACCACAACCAACACGTTTGTTTTATCAGTCTTTGTCAGGCTCTTATTCTGAGTCGCAGGATACGTCGCCAATGTTCCTAAGTAAGACCTAACATACTTGGAAAAACCTTGATGTGACCGAATGTTACTGCGAGTAATTTACTAGAATCAAGTGACCCTGATCCAATAACTGGGTATGCATATAACTTGGTAAAGGTCGGAATATTTATTCTTAGCAACCTATCTGATAACCCTATCAGAGTTCAGACAATAAAATTGATAAGGATAGGTAAGAGGACCAACGGAACTGTTGAATCGTGCCCGTATATACTCCTTAACGTAATCTTAGGGTCGGAAGAACAACAAAATCTTTTGTTAACTTGTGCTCAAAGTCACGACATTACTGACATTCGAGTGAGACCCCACATGTGTTTAGTAGATAAAATAAAAGGAAGGAGGGATTAGCTGAACTAGAAACGCGTCGACAAAGTGGAGAAGGAAGTCTCCGCTTTGTGGGTTTTTGGGTAGTCAGGTCTTGGAAGCGAATTCTGCCAAGGCTTGTATGGGTAGGTCGTTCTCTTTATGCGTTTTGTGTACAAATGCTCGTAGTCTAGAGTGGGGAGAGTCAGCTCTTCCTCTCGAAATGCTCTCAAATGGCCACGCGTATACAGCCACTGTCAGGGAAGTCCTCACTGCGTTCTTGCGGCATTGCTTTTGCTTACGAAATTGAGAGGACGAAAAGCGAATGTCCGGGGAATTAACCAGGTCGATGGGCACAAAGGACCCACCTAGGGGAGTTGGAAAACCCTGATTCTAAACCAGTGACACACATGGGCTACAGCATTGTAAATGAACAAATGGTCAGTCAGTCAGTCAGCTACAACGTAGGACCAGGTACATTTATGCATCGGTCCAAGTTGCCATACCTCGTTAGCACAACAAGATGAACACCGGATTCATAGAAGTAATTAATGTAGTGGTGGTAGTAGTATATAAATTATAGGTTGTATATAAGGATATAGTATAGGAAGGAAGAGAGATATGAAGCAATTTTAGTCTCAAGGTTTAAAGGAAGATAAAGAGTGTATACACCTACGCCATTGTGATCGATTCTGAGCCATGTCACCTAGAGTCTCCAACCATTGGTTACGATAGTCACGCGGACCCCAACCAGGTAGTCTGCATCTGTCAACATGGCTCAGACTAGAAGTTAGTGACTTCAAACACTGATGCCATGTTTTGGTTTGGCCGCCCCTAACTCTCTTCCAACAATCCCCTACACTAGTCATCATAGCGCGTCGTGGTAATCGGTGTTCAGGCATACGTAACACATGGCCCAACCATCTCAGTCGATGAAGATTCATCACCTCATCAACTGATTTACCATCGTTCCCTAATACCCTGCGTCTAACCTCACTATTACTTACCCGGTGATCCCAGCAGATGCGAGCAATATTTCTAAGGCATCTGTGGTCAAATACTAGTAACCTACGAGTATCTTCTACTCTTAATGGCCATGTTCCACAGCCGTAAAGTAAAACAGAACAAACTGCTGCGCAGTATACTCGTACTTTAATTGATAGACGGATATCCCATCTTCGCCATAGGTGACGTGAGTTAGCAAAAGCCAAACGAGCTTTTTGAATCCGTGCTGAGATTTCGTCAGACACCAACCCATTAGGGCTGATCAGACTTCTAAGATAAGTGAAGTTGTCCACGCGTTCGACTACTTCACTCCCTATCCTTAGTTCGGGTGTTGACGCAGGCCAGTCCTGGAGTAACAATTTACATTTGGATGGGGAGAAACGCATTCCAAACATCCTGGCATTATTACTGAGTTCCAACAGAAGACTCTGCATTTTGCCAGCGTCTTCACCAAACAGGACTATGTCATCTGCGTATTCCAAGTCGCTTAGTGGTCCCCCTGGTAGGAGATCAATTCCTGTAAATTCAGTCGAAGAGATTGTTATTTCCAGCAACAGGTCTATAATGAAGTTAAACAAAAATGGGGATAGTGGACAGCCTTGTCGGACACCACTTGAGGTTGTAAAATCATATGACAGTTCGCCATAAGCTCTCACTCGACTGGTAGTGTTCGAGTAAAGAGCCTTCATAAGGTTTATGTACTTCTCAGGTACACCTTTCAATGACAAACACTGCCACAGAACCTCTCGGTCTACAGAGTCAAATGCTGCTTTCAAGTCAAGAAAAACTATCATTGTCGGACGCCGATAAGCGTGTCTGTGCTCTAAGACTTGACGAATGGTGAATATGTGGTCGATACAGCCACGACCAGGTCTGAAGCCAGCCTGATTTTCTCGTGTTTGCAGTTCACGAGTCTTAGTTAGGCGCCCGATAATTATTGAGGCTAGTATTTTAGATGCTATGTTGGTCAGACTAATCCCTCTATGGTTATCGCAGGATGATTTTGACCCCTTTTTATATATTGGGACAATCAGTGATTGTGACCAGTCGGATGGGATTACATCCGTCTCCCAGATTTTAGCCAGAATATTAGTCAACCTAATCGCTAAAATCGGACCACCATATTTAAAGACCTCTGGAGCCAATCCATCTGGACCAGCTGCTCTTCCTCGTTTCAGATTACCTATAGCCTTTTGAACTTCAAGTAGGGTCGGGGGGCCTACTTCAATGTTCCATTCAGGTTTTCTAGGAATAGTGGGTAGTTGTGCAGTAGCTGAAGGCCAGTTAAACTGCTCCTTAAAGTGTTCCGCCCATCGTTCTAAACGTTTGGGTTGAGAGCAGATAAGGGTTCCGTCTTTTTCGGAGATTGTCTCACTTACACTTGGCTTCTTAATTCCGGTTTCTTTTATTAGTCTGAATAGTTGCCTGGTGTTCCCTACAGCCGCTGCCTTTTCCATCTCTTTTGCTTTCGTTGCCCACCACTGCTCACGATCATTCTTTAGACTTTTAGTTAACCTATATCTAATTTCTTTACGCTCTTCGTCATGTTCAGAGCCTGATGGGATGAGTTTACGCGAATCCATCAGAAGAAATCCACTGGTTTTTTGGAGCCCTATGGTTTAAATGACTAATAGATGTAACTGCTGTTTCCACAGCTGTTCGTATGTCTTTCCAAGCAGCATCTGTGTCAGTCTTGTTTACAGAACTGCCTAGATGTGAACTTAGTTGTTTCTGGAATTCGCATTTGGCTTTCTCATCCTCCAGTTCAATCCTAATGGGTCTTCTTAGTGTACTTCTCCTGCGTCCATTGAGGCGCAGACAAATGCGCGCTCGTATTAAAGCGTGATCAGAGTCTAAACAAGTATTCCAATACGAGCGACAATCTTCTATTGAGCCTCTCCAACGATGACTGATGACAATATGGTCTATTTGAGTCCATCGTTGGTTTGGTGCAGGTGGTCGCCATGTTAGACGATGTCTCTCCTTATGTTTAAAATTAGTGCTTGCTAAAAATAAACGATTGTCTGAGCATAGTTGCAACAGACGATCACCATTATCGGTTCGTTGAGCCGGAATACTAAAACACCCACCTAAATGTTTTTCTGTTTGATTCAAGCTGCCTACCTGGGCATTAAAGTCACCCGCTACGACTACTATGTCTGAGCGCTTAGCTTTCTGAAGAAGCTCAGAGAGCTTTCTGTAAAAGTCATCTTTCACTTCATCATGGTTGCAGTCGGTGGGAGCGTAGGCAGAAACGACGAAAAGGCAACGATGTGTGTCCCTATCCTTCCGAGTCCTTACGGAGCCATTCAGCCGGACAGCACACAGGCGACTGTTAACGGGGATCCATTCTAATAGTGCCTGTTATGCCCTTGTATTTAGTGCTATGCCTACACCTGCAAGTCCGCGAGAACTAGCCAACGGGTCGCCAGATACACGGAGGGTGTATTTCGTTGGCTGTCCATTTTGGCGAGGTGAGGTCAAGTGAATGACCACACTGGGATCCTGTATGCGTGTTTCGGAGACACAGCATACATCAATGGTACGAGATTCTAGGGTTTTAGCTAAGGAGGCTTGTTGACCGATTTGGCATAGGGTACGTACGTTGAAGGCTCCAATGTGTAGTTTGGAGAGAGGTTTAAGTAGACCTGGGACAGCGTTTCGCGCACTAGAATCGTTGGCCATGGTGACACTTGAGGAGGAAACTGGAACAGGAAGTTTAGTGTTGAAAGTCAAGGTAGAAGGAATAGTAGGAATTGAAGGAGATTGATTATGAATACGGTGGTCTTGAGTGCTGTTAGGGGTATGAGGGCAGTTATCACTTCCCGGTTGCCCACACCGTGGAAGGGTTCTCCTGGGGGTACCTGAAAAGGAAATTGGGTTAGAAGTGGTCTTAATGACCTGAGAGCGTGACCGCAGTGCCCAAGGGACAACTGCTTGAGGTCGGTCACACACGACCTTTTTGTGGGTAGTTTTTGTGTTAGCTCCGTTCTTCAAAAAAACCTTACCGCCGGAGACGGATATCCGTGGGATAAGGCGAGGTGTGCATTTTTAGGGCCGACCTTTTCTAACCCCACCCCTCCTTATGGGAAGGCAGCATCGCTGTTGTGCTGGTTGTCTGAAGGAAACACCTTACTGCCGTCACACCTCTGTACAGTCGACAGTACGACTTCGCCTTCGGACCTTGGGTTTGCTGCTTTTAGTCTCACCGCTCTTCAACCGACCTGTCTGGCATGGTAGGACCTCGAGGAACGATTGTTCCAGCCAGCATAGCTCGATTGCTTCATCACGATAGGCAAGCCCGACCACCACGTCAAGGTAGCAGCAACGGTCGGGAAATGAACAAATGGCGTATGAACTAGTCATCGGTCACCGCCTACCATAGGACTACATCTCCCAGCGTTGCTCCACTGTCTTGTGGATCAGATCTTTAGATCGAAGGCTACAATTATGACCTCCTTAGAAAACTCCTCGCTTCGGTTCGGGCACCCGGGAAGTATCATAGCCCACACACAAATCAGTTGACTTGTGTGGTGCATATGTTTTCGGTGTCCCTATGTATCAATATTTACGTGTTTAAATAAACAAATAAATTATTGTGATACAACTATTTAAGAGGTTCTAGGAATAGATGCAAGAAGGGGGATGGAGTCCTTATATACATAGCTAACAGTATAAACATCCGTCTCTTTATTTGTGAATCCCATTATAGTGGAACCAGTAAAGTCGCTAGCTGTGGACTCGCTTTTGAAGGTTGAGCATTTATACTCGGTGTCATCTATCGTTGCTCAATCTGCTTAGCTGATGACTTTATTTTAGAGCCCATTCAGCTATGGAGTGAAAATAACGGATACCTGGTATTAGGTTAATGGACCTGATATTGGTTGAACAGAGATAGCTGCTGTAGGATCTGAAAACCTTCGATAGTAGGCTCCTGACGCGGGTAAAGTACAATATGTATCCGAACCTACACATTTTGATCCGAACCAAAAATCCTTGTTAGACTTAGCAATCACTCATGCGACCGAGGATATTGTCTGTCTAAATATCCTCCCACTGTTAGCTAATGGCGATCATACTGTTCTGTCGTTCGCGTCTAGAGCTTGTGACATTATATACGATCAGGTTAAACCTCTACCAAATGTGTGGGGAGCAAAATATCGGCCATCCAGGAGTGCGCTGGTCAGTAAACACTAGCTCATCAGTCGAAGAAGCGTAGCCCATATTTAATGATAGGCTTAGCTTAGTTACGTCCCCATTTATACCTTGCTTTGTACCATGTAGACTAAACTACTGCCCACCATGGATAAAAAAGCAGGTCAAGAAACTTCCTAGACGTAGGAAAAAGCAATGGATTATGTTTATCTGTATAGGCTTCGAACAGCACAGATTCATGTATTGTAAGAATAGGGACGCTTGCAAAGCCTTGATAAGTAAGGCTAGATACCCATATGAAAAACAATTGCTTGGGGATTGTTAAAGTAGTCCCGAAAGGTTCGTAATTTATTCCATTAACTGAACGCAGAAATGTTTAGGGTATTATACTCAGCTTATGTGAGACCGCATTTGGAATATTGGATTCAAGCAGCGAATGCTTGTTTCAAGTATGAGGCGGATATGCTAGAACAACGACGAGAAACCAAAATGATGAACGTTCTCACTGACCTATCTTATAGAAACAGACAAACGCCTTAACCGATTTCCGTTATATTACCGTTCACGGGTGATCTAATACTGGCTTGTTGTATACTGAACAATGATGTTGGTATTGATATATTTTTATTAACATCTAAGACTGACCATCTGAGAGGATATTCTAAGGATGCTCAAGGCATGAAATCAAATCGCTTACGTCTGGAGTTATATCGATAAGTTTTGTGTTAGTGTTGCCGTCCCTAATTGTAGCCCAGTTTTCTCTCGAAATGTTTGTCATTCAAATGGGACGGACTCTAAAACAGTATTTCTTAGTTACTGGGTCGTTTCTCTCTTGTTTATGTAGAAGATATGAATGATCTTGTTTAGCACCTCGGCCGTTATATTATCAAATTTAGTTCACTGGTTTCGATTACCGATTTGTCTTAAATATATTCTTTAGTTTATGACTATCCGCTTTCACTTCGAAATGGTTTTTTTTTCTTTCAGATTTCCATTCTGGTTAAGGGAACTTCCACCTTCAAGCTTATGAAAATCTTTGACGCTTACCTAACATAATCATAACAGTATATTATAAGCCCGACATAAATTTATTAACGACTTAGAGTCATATTTTCTCTGGGAAAAGTCTGTGTTAAGGACGTTTACATCAAGTTCAAACAAACTCGTAGAATGAGTTATGAAAGACAGTCCAACTCAACGATCTCCAATCCCAGCCTATCTGGTTTGGCGCTAAATCTATCTCAGGCGTCAATACCAACTGGACCAATTCTTCTTCCACAATTTATTTCTCCTAGAGCTGATGGATTATCGTCTTTCATTGGAGAAAATCCAGTAAATACAACGACATCTATACCAGGAAGTGAAGAGAAATCTTTCGACTCTGGATCAAGTCTTGCAAAAAACATCAATATCTTGGAAGTATCATCGCCCGCAGCCTGCTCCGTAGGTTTACTTTGGTAACTAATTCATGTATATTACAGTGTTTCAATATTCAAAGGAACTAAAACTACTACATAAGTCAACATCTCCCGAGGTTCATGTAGATTTTCATCCTTCATTTATCAGGAATCTCGGCAGCCATATTATACGACGATTAGTTTTCTTAAACCTACCGACCTTAAAGATGCAAAAATATCCTACTGGCAACTTGTAAAATTCTAGATCCACTAGTTTTCTGCACTTGTTCAGTACCGTGTCGTTCTCCTCCTACTAGAAGGTTCACGCTAGCATCATTCACATTCAGTCAGTCAGCTACAACGTAGGCACATATATGCATCGGTCCAAGTTGTCACACCTCATTAGCACAATAATATGATCACCAAGTTCATAGTAGTTACTTCAATGGTAGTATTATTTTAAAGATTACGTATTAAGGATATAGTACAGGAAGGTAGAATTAGTTCGTAGAAAGCAAGATATAAAGCAATTTTAATTTACGGTTAAAGAGAAGACAAAGAGTGTATACACTTACGCCATTGTGATTGATTCTGAGCTATGTCACCAAGAGTCTCCAACCATTGTTTGCTAAAAACAAATGATTGTCTGAGCACAACTGCAGCAGATGATCACCATTATGTTTGCTGAGCTCGGATACTAAAATACCCACCTAAATGTCGTTCTGTTTGGTATAAGCTATCTACTTGGGTATTAAAGTCACCTGCTACGAGTACTATGTCTTGAGTGCTTAACTTTTCAAGGAAGTTCAGCAAGCTTTCTGTAAACTTTATCTTTCATTTTATTCGGGCTGCAGTCAGTGGGAGCATAGGCAGAAACGACGAAAAGGCAACGACGTGTGTCCGTATCCTTCCGAGTTCTTACGGAACCGTTTAGCCGAACAGCACATAGGTGACTGTTGACATGAGTCCATTCTAATAGCGCTTGTTCTACCCTCGTACTTAGTGCTATGCCTACACCCGCCAGTCCACGAGAACTACTTACTTACTTTCGCCTGTTACTCCCAATGGAGCATAGGCCGCCGACCAGCTTTCTCCAACCCACTCTGTCCTGGGCCTTCTTTTCTAGTTCTTTCCAGTTCTTGTTCATTCTTCTCATGTCTGTCTCTATTTCTCGGCGTAATGTGTTCTTTGGTCTTCCTCTTCTCCTTCGACCTTCAGGATTCCATGTGAGGGCTTGTCTTGTGACACAATTGGGTGATTTCCTCAAAGTGTGCCCAATCCACTTCCAGCGCTTCTTCCTGATTTCTTCCTCCACTGGGATCTGGTTTGTTGTCTCCCACAGTAACTTGTTGCTGATAGTGTCTGGCCATCGGATCCGAAGTATCTTGCGTAGACAGCTGTTAATAAACACTTGTATCTTCTGGATAATGGCTTTCGTAGTTCTCCACGTCTCTGCCCCATACAGAAGAACTGTCTTGACATTTGTATTGAAAATTCTAACCTTGGTGTTGGTTGACAATTGTTTTGAGCTCCAGATGTTTTTCAGCTGTAGGTATGCTGCTCTTGCTTTGCCGATCCTCGCCCTCACATCTGCATCTGATCCACCGTGTTCATCAATGATGCTGCCCAGATATGTAAAGATTTCCACATCATCCAAAGCTTCTCCGTCAAGTGTAATTGGATTGGTGCATATTGTATTGTATCGGAGAGTCTTGCTTTTCCCTTTGTTTATATTGAGACCTACTGCTGCTGAGGCTGCTGCTACACTGGTCGTTTTCTCCTGCATTTGTTGTTGCGTTTGTGATAGAAGAGCCAGATCATCCGCGAAGTCTAAATCGTCAAGCTGCATCCTGCCTGTCCACTGTATCCCGTGATTTCCTCCAGATGTTGACGTCTTCATGATCCAGTCGATCACCAGGAGAAAGAGAAAGGGTGAGAGTAGGCAACCTTGCCTAACACCGGTCTTTACCTCGAACGAGTCGGTGAGTTGTCCTCCGTGGACGATTTGGCAGTTTAGTCCATCATAGGAGTTCCGTATGATGTTGACTATCTTCTCAGGCACGCCGTAGTGTCGAAGAAGCTTCCATAGTGTCGTCCTGTCCACGCTATCAAATGCCTTCTCATAGTCGATGAAGTTGATGTACAGTGATGAATTCCATTCGATTGATTGTTCCACAATTATACGTAGAGTTGCGATTTGATCTGTGCACGATCTATCCTTACGAAATCCAGCTTGTTGATCTCGAAGTTGAGCGTCCACGGAATCCTTCATCCTGTTTAACAATACTCTGTTGAAGACTTTTCCTGGTATTGAGAGGAGAGTGATGCCCCTGTAGTTGTCGCACTTGCTCAGATCGCCTTTCTTTGGTATCTTGATGAGAAGTCCTTCTTTCCAGTCTGTTGGTACATGTTCTTCGTTCCAAATCTTACCGAAGAGGATGTGGAGTATCTTGGCAGTTGCTGTTACATTTGCTTTCAGTGCCTCTGCCGGGATGTTGTCTGGTCCCGCTGCTTTGCCACTCTTGATTTGTCTAATGGCCATGCTGATCTCTTCAATTGTTGGTGGGCCAATATCGATTGGGAGGTCTGTGGGTGCTGCTTCGATGTTGGGTGGGTTCAGTGGAGCTGGTCGATTCAAGAGTTCTTTGAAGTGTTCTACCCACCTGTTTCGTTGTTCTTCAATATCGTTGATTACTTTGCCTTCCTTGTTTTTTACTGGTCTTTCTGGTTGACTGTAATTTCCAGCAAGTTTCTTTGTTGTATCATACAGTTGTCTCATGTTTCCCTCTCTTGCAGCCTTTTCCGCTGTCATCGCTAAATCTTCCACATATTTACGTTTGTCGGTCCTGATGCTCCTCTTCACTTGCTTGTTTGCCTCTGTGTATTCGGCTTGTGCCTTGGCTTTTTCTGCTCTTGTTCGGCTGATATTGATTGCTACCTTCTTGTTCCTCCTTGCTTCAATTTTATCCAATGTGCCAACAGTGATCCATTCCTTGTGATGGTGCTTCTTTTGGCCCAGAACCTCCTGACATGTTGAAACGATTGCCTCCTTGATACCTTTCCAGCTGCTCTCTATGGTGGTTCCCTCTCCATTGAGTAGGTCATGAAAGGCCTCGAACCTGTTGCTGAGGGCTATGTTAAATTCGTTGAGTTTGTCAGTATCTCGAAGAAAGGCCGTGTTAAACTTTTGTGATGTTGTCCGCGCCATTGTCCAGTGCTTCTTGAGTTTTAGTTTCATCTTGGCGACCAGCAAATGGTGATCGGATGCTATATCAGCTCCTCTTCTGGTTCTCACATCCTCCATCGTCCTCCTGAACATTTTGTTGATGCAGACATGGTCGATTTGATTCTGTGTAGTATGATCCGGTGAAATCTAAGTGGCTTTGTGTATGTTTTTGTGTGGGAATATGGTGCCACCTATGACCAGTTTATTGAAGGCACATAGGTTTGCAAATCTCTCACCGTTTTCGTTCCTTCCTCCCAGTCCATATTGTCCCATGACGTCTTCGTATCCAGTGTTGTCCTTTCCAACCTTGGCATTGAAATCTCCCATTAGAATGGCCAGGTCCTTGGTTGGGCACTTCTCGAAGATTGACTGCAGCCTATCGTAGAATTGGTTTTTAGCGTCTTCATCGTAGTCGTTGGTCGGCGCATAGCATTGGATGATGTTCATTGTAATGCCCTCTCTCTTTGTTCTGAAGGAGGCTTTGATGATCCTCGGTCCATGAGATTCCCATCCTATAAGTGCATTTTGTGCTTTTCTAGACAGCATCAGTGCCACTCCTTGTGTATGTGGGGCATTTTCTTCTTCATGACCGGAGTATAACAGAAGTTCTCCTGAAAACAGTCGTTGTTGTCCAACCTGCGTCCAATGTGTTTCACTGATTCCAAGCACTTCCAGGTTGTATTTCCTCATTTCCGCAGAAATTTGGAAGACTCTGCCGGTCTCCCACATTGTCCGGACATTCCATGTACCTATAAAAATTGTCGCTCTGGTTGTAAGAAGGTGCATCGGCCTCATGACTTCCGAATGAACTCGGCTTTCATCATGAGACGTCATTTTTCCTTCTACTCCCAGGGCAGAGTTTGAATGGTTTGAATGATTTTTTCTGGTTAGCGTTTTTTTAGCGAGTTGATTTTCTACGGGATGGGGTCGCTAACCCCATGCCCAACCCTCCTCCTTTACCCGGGCTTGGGACCGGCAGTAGCCCCTGGAGGAGCTACAGGCGGAGTTCCACGAGAACTAGCCATCGGGTATATTAGTACAAGGAATATCGACTAGAATTCCATCAGTATAGTCTCCTGAGTTTTGTTTGAAGTTTGATTTAGACTATAAAAGTACTTACTGTGTAGCTCGGCACAGAGCATGATTTGTCTAAATATCACTTCATCTTGGTTATTTTTTAAACAGTTGACTGACTTGTAACAATTCTAAGTACAATCGCTTTTAAACATTTCTGTATTTTGTCTCAAGCTCAAACCGATCGCTTCCACAACAGTCAAGTCAAGTCAGCGACCTCGTTATGTTTTACCACCGGATATAAACACTTTTGCATCTAACACTCCAACCAGCATTACCAACATACCTCCCAATTCTTCACTCAAATCATCTTCAACCTTTAAACCAAACCAATTACTTCCTCCATTTCCCCCAAGTAATCCACAAAATAATATACAAACTGCACAACTTCCCGTACTCATGGAAACAGTAGATCAACAAACACAGTGTACCAATCAGAATATTGGTCCAACTTCAACAATCTCATCTTCCGTATCGATGAGTGAGTTTATTTATATTTTCGTTGAGATAAACTGTAACGTTACTGATTTACTTATTACAATCTTGTATACTGAACTTTAAAACAAAATATGGGGGTTAGTGATATTGCTCAAACCAGAGTAAGTGGGGTGGTTTTCTAAACCAGTACTTACCAGTTAGAATATTTTGAAAATGGTTGTGTTGGACTCTCACAAATACTATCTGGACATTGTTAATTCATACAGGTGTCCATAGCTGTCATAATTTCATGTATCCAGAAGCATGCTATTCTGTGCGTGCTTAATAATTTTATGCCCTCCATCTGGCATCTACATAATTTGTTTTCTGTATGGTAATTCGAATGGCAATAGACTTAGTGAACTTCTTGGATGGGAAATTTTCTCAGTTAATCAAGGCCACCTATAGATTTTCGGGTTAAACAGACATGTGTCATTAACATAGAACATAATACAGATGTACGTTGACCCAAGTTGCCATTGCCTAGTTAGCACAGCAGGTTGAAACGATAAAATGGATAGCAAAAGGGAGCAAAATTGAATATCAATTTGATAATCAATTCATCTAGGCGCACCGGAAATCTGATGAGGTTTTACTATTTTTCGTACTAATATAATAATCAATATTGTAACCTGTCACATGTTCTTTATTCGAATTACTTTGTTGTGATCGATTAATAAATCACACATTACTTTGTAATTGTTGTCATGTCGATAACATTTATCAAGTTCTGGAGTTACTTAAGCATGTTCACTCCTCTTGAGGCTTATAAGCTGCAGACCAAGTATCTTCAAGCAACCCTGTTCTGGTCTATGCTTTCTATTTGTTGTCATGTTCTATCTATGATAATGATGTCTGCCTCTAACTCTTGACCCCATGTGTTCTTTGATTTGCCACCTTTCCTTTTGCTTTGAAGATTCTAAGTTGGAGCCTGTTTTGTGATAAGTCCGATGGTTCCCTCCTAGTATGTTCTATTCACATCCATCATAGTTTCCTAATTTCTCGATTGGCAGTTAGTTTTTTCTGCCAGAGTAGGTTTTTTTAATCGATATTGGTCGAACAATGGACTTGGAGTATCGTGGATAAACAGCTATTTATGAATACTTTTACGCCTTTGGTAAAGTTGAAGAGAAATGGTGAGATCGGGCAACCTCGTTCAACCCCACTGCTTGAATGGAACAATGGAGAAAGGTGGTTGTATACCGTCACTTTACTCGAGGTGTTAATATATATGAGGCATTTAAGATGTTAATAAACTCCCCAGACACACCCTTCTTCAATAGACAATCCCAGAGAACAGTCCTATTCAACGGGTCAAAGGCGGTCCTAATATCAAGAAACACTACGATTGTTGGCCTGTGATAAGTATGACTGTGTTTTAACATTTGGTGGAGGGTGAAGATTTGGTCAGTACATCCTCGACTAGAATGAAAGCCAGCCTGCTCTTTGCAAGTCAAACTTTCTCGGGTTTTGAACAACTTATGATGTATAACGGAAGCCAATAGTTTGGACGCGATCGGAAGTAGACTTATCCCCGATAGTTGTCACCGAAACGATGTGAACCCTTTTTAAATATAAGAACAACTATTGACTCATTGCATGACGTTGGAACATTATCTAATTGTCAGATGTTTGTAGACAACTCAGTCAGTTTCTTAACCTGAAAGTCACCACTATCTTTAAAAAGGGTCTGGTGATCTATGAAGCTTCAAGATTCGGAGTTCCTTGCGGACTTCCGCCTCGTTAAGTGGGCCAGTCGTCACAGATCATGGAGGTCAGAGCAGTCTGATCGATGTTACCGGGGCAGCAGACCAATTGAACTGTTTTTCAAAGGATTCTGCCCATCATCCAAAACGCCGGTTGATGTTAGTGATTGGCATCCCGATGCATGTACGTGTCTATTCCTACATTGTAGCTGACTGACTGAATATGTGCGTTTTCGTTTCTGCGACATTTTGTCTTTCATCATAAGAAAATTTCTCTACACTTTTGAAAACCCCTCAGTTTCCGAAACAGAGTTCAGATCTTTGAAATGATGTTTTCTGGTTGGCGGTTTTGTAGCTAGGTTCTTCCTTACGAAGTTGCTAATTCCATGCCAAATTGTTTTCCATTACGCGGATTTTGGACCATAAATAGCTGCAGAAGGATTACGTACGGAGTTGCATTCTAGAGTTACATACTGACAATTTTTCTGGACGTGATTCCGTTTGATGCCGGTCCAGTTGTCTAGAGGTTAAGCGTTCGCACGCGAAATTGAAGGTCTTTGGTTCGAGTCCCGCGCGCGGGATCGTGGATGCGCATTGCTAAGGAGCGGGAAGGAGCGGTCGTCCAATGCTTTCAGTTTTCCAGTGCTGTTCTAGCTTAAATCGACTCGTGAGTTCAACTGTGAAAATAACTTATCGTATTTGGGTCCGTGTAATCAGGCCATTAACTAGAGAGCTTAAGACCTATTGATCATTGGGTTGTTAAACCCGATATTCAGTCAGAAATTAGCAAGTGAATATCTTTTTCACATTTTAATATGTATTAACTACTTGATCACATAAGAACACAGATAAGAAATTACATGACTAACCCATAAGTGACACAAAATCAGTGCTAATAAAGAAGTGAATAATAAAAATGTTAATAAAAAGACAATGATTTCACTAAGCCTATAATGTATCTTATTGTTTGTAATGCGTTTAACTAAAAATTATGGCAGGTTTCCCATTGAATTCTATTCTCACCTGTGTCTAATGATATCTCAATCATCAGGGAGACTCGGAAAGTTGTGACGAACCAACGAATGTTAATCCATCGCAATTATTCTTTATACCATGGCACAAACTAGTCTGCACCAATTATTTGTGTATTAAATAGCTGAGTAACTTAACAGAAGCAACATGTAATTCAATACAGTAATACTTCAGTCAGAGTAAAATAGTGGCATTGCTTAATTATTCAACTTACATCCAATCGGCTGGAGATTCGTACTTAGTCACGGCTACTTTGGTTTGGACAGTGAGGTAGTGCTATTACTCCTTACAAACTATGTTGCCTGAATAAAAATTCAAAAAATATGTTAGCCGCGTAATTAAAATAAAATGTGAATGCATCGATGACACTAACGTATTACTAGTTTTTTAGCTTCATTATTTTAGATCTATACTGCGAACACTCGACAGATCATTTAACGTTTTCTTCATGATAGTAGCCTTCAACAGTCACTTCTCACAGTCTTGTATTGTATCAAAGTGTACTACTCTGTACAACCCAAACCTTGGGAATACTGTGACTTGATTTCGAATTAATCATAACCGATGTTACATTCAGAAGAGCCAATTGTAAACTTCTTAACTAAATTGAACAGATACATATGGTTGAAGACATGTTATATATCATTAATTGATATTTTGTAGAGCTAAGATCTAAACTAGACAGTCTTCTATTAAGATTATGTCAACAAGCATGTTTAGCTGACCTTTGAAGATCTTAGCATACCTTAAATTCATCTGATTTCGTCATAACAACCCATATCACTTGATCTTTATTCATTCTAATAGTTTATTGTTTGAACACTTTATTAATTGTACTGTCAATCAATAAGTGAGTCGAAGGTTCGAGGAGCTGTATCAGTATCACAAACCCTCACATTAAAGATTTAATTCATCGTTGAATGCGCAAACTTGTACTTAATTATTGGGGGTATACTACGACAAGTGAAGTTTTCGATGCAGCAAAATATTGATTTACAAGCCGATTTGAATAATAACTTGACATAATAGTTCACTAGGTGTATGTTGATACAAATTGTCTTTCCTCTGAACAGATTGGTGGTTTTATGAAAACTTGAAAATATTACAAATTGATTCCAAGTTAGCTTATCTTCAGCTCTCTTACGTTTAGTATGTGGTAATTAACAATTTTTTATCATAATAATCTCAAAGACACGGAGTAACTGAACATAAAAGTGAAGATCAACGATCTTTGTTGATTTCAAGCCTCACATTTCTAATGTATATAGTATTTTTTTATACACTTATACATAATTTAACTATTATTGCTTATGATACTACATTAAACTAACCTTTAGAATTTTTCACGTGGTATCTAATGCTCACACAAAGTTTTATGTGTGGAAATAACTCTTCTTAAGACATGTCTGTTCCTTAGTTTTTAACTTTCGACGAGAAAAAAACGACAGGACTGTGAACCAGTAATGTTTCTTCATTTCATGGTTTACCAAGTAATGACATAATCCAGTAAACAACTAATTAGTTACCAATAGTATTTTAATTAGTGATTAGGTTTAAAAAGCCATTACTTGTGTAACCGACTATGTTAGATTTGAATTATATGCTCGCCATGACATTAGATAATGGTACTACAATTTCACAAATCAGTTGTAGTTAAATGTAAATTACTGGATTCCTACTCAGTAATATCGTAATTATAGTGAGGCCGAAAAGTTTTGAGATCGCTTCTGTGTTGATTCATGGGCTCACACTTCTGTGGAGTGACAGACTAGGACAAAACAACTGTCCAGTACTCCCCAGTTATCGTTAGTACTTTGTGTAGTGTCACTTGGTGACGAAAACCATCTTTAACTTACAATTATCTACATCAGAAGATTTTAGCAGTTAGTGTACTTGCATAAATATCTTTGATTTCTGTTATCTTACCAATATCTTTTCAGGGACCACTTATCATCCAGTTGGAGCCCATTGGTTCTATTCTACAACTTTTGAAAATATATCCGTTTGGTGGCCATTTTCACGTCATGATTCTTACCAAATTGAAACTGAGTTTTTCCGATCATGTTATTTACAGTCTACATCAGAAAATTCACTGGCTTCTTCCATTACTAATAATACATCGGATATGAAAGCAACAATTGGAACTCATGAAATTGTGGTCCAAGTTGATGGAGGTCGTTACGATGTTCATTTAACAAAAAGAGAACGTCGTTCAGTCTACTGGGACGAATCACCATGTCAAGTTAGGCGGGCTACGTGGTTTTATAAGTAAGCGATATTTGTTATAATAACATTAGTACACAACTTATGTCAAAATAAGGTTGTGTAACGACCGATTAGTAAAAGGAAAATTCTTAAAATCGAAAACTATGTGTGAAAGATAATTGTCCTCTTAACGAGTATGAGAAAGATGAAGAATTAGTTAAAAACATGAAGATGATAATAACAAATGACTAGAAATTAAAGGCATTAAAGTATCAATAAGCAATTGTCTGTGTGTGAAAAATTAGGTATTCAAGTCGTGATTTGATGACAGCTTTCACTTGATGAACTGCTAACGCTTCTGCAGCAAAATCATCTATAAAATATTGTTGTAGTGTAGTTGGATTTATAATTTAAGCTAACTAATTTGAAAAACTTTAAACGTCTTTGCCTGTCGAACCTTTGAAGACTTTTAAAAGAGGTAATAGAATGTAGATCAGATGATGAGCTATGATACTATACAACCGAATGGTAGCTGCTCATAAGGCTGAATTTCTGATGAAAACGGCCGAATAAACTGATGTGAAAAGACAAGACCACTAACTAGAGTAATATGTATTTTGCGTAGGCATCGAAGTATTATTGAAGCTAATATTTCAGACACTAAATTAGTCAAAGTGATTCCTCTGTGATTGTCACAAGAGGACTTTTGTCCTTTCTTATAGACTGGATCAATCAGTGATTGGGACCAGTCAGATGGAATTACGTCCTGTTCCCAGATTCTACCTAAGACCTCAGTCAATCTCACTGCTAGTACTGGATTGCCATGCTTATAAATCTCGGGTAAAACCTGTCAGGGCCTGCTGCTCTCGCTCGCTTCAGATTTCCTATAGCTTTTTCAACTTCTTAAAGTGTTGGATGACTTACCTTCGCTTGCCATCCAATTAGACTGGAGATAATGGTAAACCGAAGTGTGACTGAAGGCCAGTTGGACTGGTCCTTAAAGTGTTCTGCCCATCGATCCAACCTCCTGGATTAAGAGTGAATAATATATCCATCTTTTTCCGAGATAGTTTCGTTAACAGTTGGATTCCTAATATTGTTTTCCTTGACAAGTCTGAACAGTTGCCTGCTGCTACTTATTGCGCTGCCTTTTCCATCTCTCTTGCTTTCGCTACCCACCACTGTTTGCAATCATTGCGTAGGCTTCTTAATAGCCTGCGATTAAGCTGTTATTGTTATGCTTCTGTTGACTTCTTCCATATTTCATCTTGTTTACTTCTTACTGTCGTATTGTTGTGAAGCATAACAGCTAGGATCGATACAAATTTATAAAGGTGTAGGTCGTGAAAGGTTTAGATGCTAAGTTTGATTTATTACTGTTCATGCAGTTCATAGCTTAGTAAATCTACCTATAAATGGTTACTAAATTGTATCATCTATAGATTGTTATTCTTCTTCTTATAATTATTACTATTATTCATAACTGACAGCATAGATGTTGGATTATTTAGTTTGTTTTCCAGGGTATTTTAACCGTTATCTGTAAGTTGCTCTTAAGACATTCATATTCGCGTCTCTCCCATAAGGGGGGTAGTCAAGTGAATATGCTTTGGAAATGCGCTTTCTTTGAAGACAAATATTCTTTCAAGAAGTGGCGGAAATACTTCTCTTAAACGATAATCAATTTATAATTCTAAGCATTTTTAGCCCGTATACACTTCGTTTGGGTTATTTGTGTGTGTGTTCACCTTAAAAAAATATCTCATTAAAAATCAGAGTGCTAGGTTTAATCATTCTGGCGGAAAGCACCATTATCTTGAAAACTAATTTTTGGTCACAGGGTTCAACTAAATGCCAGACTTGTGTTTTTTCTTCGTGCAGAACTCATTTGTGGGGACTCACAATAGTACGAGGAATCGAAACAAGTTCTTAAGTCTCAAATTGACCAAAGTTGAAAACATTGATATTACCCCAAAGCAGTGTTATTATAACCTACTAGGATTGTAATCTTAAACACTTCACTAATATCGTGACTTCCAGTGCGTCAACGCCCCTTTAGTTCACATTTATCTTTCGGTTCCTTTGTTTTGTAAGATGTTATTTATTTCGCTTTTTCTCAACACATGAAAGCCCTCTTGCCAAGTTCCTTTTTTCCCTTATCCATTTACGGTTGTCATCATTGAATTGTTGCGTATTGAGTCATATCAAATCCGCTCTCATCTTAGTATCGACTTTCATTTATCCTTATTTTAGACATAACTGAATTAGGCTTTATGTTATATCCCGATAACAATAGTGAATGGTAACTTTGGGTTCCATTTATGGACCAATATTATGCATATAATTTTTATCCTATATTTGCTAATAATTAAACTACTCGTATTCATGTTCCTTTCATTGTGAGCTTTATTTTGACCCTTGGACTATTATTGTACGATTTACCATTCCCGAGTTATACCCAGTCTATTAATTACTGCTCCCCCTATTCACAGCCACATTGGGCTAACTCTTGTACAAATGTTATTTTCCATTTTATTGGTACGTTGTGGTCAGTCTGTTTGGTATATAAACTCAGTATGTTTGAAATGCAATGATTCATACCACAGAGACTGTTATTAGTGTTCTGGACTTAACTGGCTGCACTAGGCAGGAGCAGGGTCGATAAGCACTCTAGACTGCTCGTACGGTTTTCGTGTGTCACTGTTCCAATCGATAGTTCTCTGCTCTCTGATTGGCGGTCTTATCACGTCATACATTAACTAGGTATCCACTCGGCCACACGATATAACACTTTACAAAAAGGATAGAAAGTAAACCATAGTAGGAAGAAGCAACTATCGTATGTTCTCTTGTTCTCAGTGATCCTCACCTTTTGTCGTTCCTGCCCCCAAATGCCCTGGTACGGCCGAGAGTGGGGAGAGTCTGCTCTCCCTCTCGAAATGCTCTCATATGTCCACGCGAATATATAGCCTCTGACAGGCAAGTCCTATTCACTGCCTTCTCGTGGCGTGGGTGTTGTTCACAAAAGTGAGAGGACGAAAAGCGAATGTCCGGCGCTTTAACCGGGTTGGTGGATGTGGAGGATCCACCTAGGGGAGTTGGAAAACCCTGATTCCAAACCAATGGTGCACATGGGCTCCAGTATCCTGATGGAACGAATGACGTATGAACCAACTGTTGGTCATCGGCTACCATGGGAGTGCATCTCCTTACGATGCTCCACTGCCTTGTGGATTAGACCTTTAGGTCAAAGGCTCCGGATGTGGCCCCCTAAGAAAACCACCTGCTTCAGTCTGGGCACCTGGGCAGTATCACAGCCCTCACACAAATGGAATGAGATTTGTCTGGCGCACATGTATCTGGTGCTTCCTTGTACCAATATTTATGTGTTTAAATAAATATATAAATAAATTGTCGTTCCTTGACGGAGACCACTTTTACATTGAATCAATCTTCAAATAAATCGCACTGAACTACTGAACCTTTTCGACTTGAAACAGCTTCTCATTGCGGGCTGACATCAGTCAGAGAAGTAGTACGTATGTATTATTATCTATCCTGATTTGGATGCCAGTCTTTGGGATTTCGGTCTAACTTTGAATTGAAAAATCTCTACTAATCTTTTAAACCAGTGTTGCCTACCCTATGTGATTTTGCTTCCAAATTTTCAAAAAAATCAATTCAGGTGCTTTAACAGATTTAAATCAGCTGATTTTATCCATTTCAGGTATAGAGAACACTGAAACATAGTAATTCTGTATAAATCCACTTTCATACTTAATAAATTTCTATTGACTCTTTTTCTTTCCATAACTTCAGACCACAAGGTGAATCACGTGTACTTCCTTTTTCTGAACGGACATGTGACTTATTGGAAGCCCAATACAAATTAAGTGTCGAACAAGGACAATGGGGTAAACGTTTTGATTTACCATCAGAAGATAGACGTGGTGGTAGTGATGTATTTATCTTTAATAGCCCACAAGTAATTTACTAATTGTCAATATTATTCCTATTTGTTTATATTTTCTTATCATTGTTAAATATTGAACACATTGTCAAGTTTTAACTCACCATAAATATAGATAATTTTTATTAGTAGGATTGCCGCATGGCTATTGAATTACGTTTTTTTATATACTTAATAATTTATTCGATGATAAAATTTATCCAGTCTCTAAGTCCTAGGTTCGAATTCTACTCCTTAGCCTTCAAACTTATAGCATAGCTCATATCTAATTAACTGGTAAATGAGTTGATGAAATTCACCTAAATAAATTTTATTCATTTCAAGTTTCATGGCTACTAATTAGGCGCCAAATGACTGTTTCACAGAATGTATATGGAAAAGTGACTAAAAGTTGTTGGTAAACTCAAATGTTTCACCAACCAGAACTTTAAAAATTACCCATAATTTGTATAATGTAATAGAAAGACGAAGATTATTAGAACTATGTGATGATATATTAGCGCAATACATTTAGAACGATCCGATCACACGTATTCTTGTCAAGAACATTTATATATGAAAATAAAAGGTCAACTAGACAGATGGAGGGTAAGAGGGGACAAAGATAATTGGTTGAAGTTAGACATTAACACCATTGGATACCGACTCAGTTGTCTAAAGGATAAGGATTTGCTCGCGGGATCGTGAATGCTCACTGCTGAGCAGTTCCATACCGGGATTAAACATCTGGCTAGTACTTTCAGGTTATCAATGGCGGTCTAACACTAATCGGTTCATGATCTCAGTAAAGAAAGATAATAAAGACAATATGAAAAAAATGTGAAAACTCATGCTGGATGATAAACTAATGTTGTCAGAGTAGGTCGGACAAGTATATGTGTAATCAGAATGTTCGAAATGTATTGCACTAATATATCATCACAGTTCTGATAATCTTCATCTTCTTACTACACTATCGAAATTTATCAAAGAGATTAATTGTTTGATTGATAATTACAGTGGAATGCAGGATGTGGGTTTTGTCTTATTTGGTATTCATCAACTGGATTTACTCGCATCTCAGATTTCATGTTCGCCCCGAGACTTGAACTGAGTATCATTCTCTTCAAACACTCATACATCATCTGCTTAACTACTAATTTCAGATAGTCACTTAATTGTGCAATGGATTACCCTATTGTTGATATTTTTGTCTGGTTTTTGACCAGTCTCAGTTTGCATATGTGATTTCTATGCAGATTGCCTCACTATAGCCAGTTATGACACAAGTTAGTATATGATAGATGGAGTTATTGTTTTCATAATCAGATAGCAGTATAAAAGTATATTTTCATTTCACAATAATGTTTTGATGATTCCCATAAAATACAAATGTTGCATATTATTTATTTGAACACATAAAGATTGGTGCAATGGGGCATCAAATACATATGCACCACAAAATAACAATGAGGCCAGTAGCAGTTATCATTGATTTGTGTGAGTGCTGTGATACTACCCGTGTGCCAAAACCGAAGCAGGTGGTGTTCTTAGGGGGGGGCGCACTCCGAGCCTTTGACCTGAAGGTCTAATCCACAAGGCAGTGAAGCATCGTTGGAAGATGCAGTCCCATGGTAGCCGGTGATCAACAATTGGTTCATATGCTTTTTGTTCCTCCAGGATCTTGGAGCCCATGTGCACCATTGGTTTGGAATCAGGATTTTCTAACAACAGTAATGCCACGAGAGGTCAGAGAGTAGGACTTCCCTGGAGGTGGCGGTACACGCGTGGCCATTTGAGAGCATTTGGAGAGAGAGAACTGACTCTCCCCACACTTGGACGTACCAGGGCATTTGGGATCAATGTTGCATGAATGAAATGTATTCAATCAAAGTTACAAGAATGTGGTTTTCCACCGTTTATATTGTCAAATATATTTTTAATTTTTGCCTGACACTTTATTTTTCTCATTTCTACTGATAAAAATTGTTCCTTATTTCATTTTTTTCCATATCACACTTGTGTTTACTCTTAGTCGATGATCCAATATTTAGCCTGGCCATATGATATATCTTCAACAGCCAACTCGGGAAATGTTGTTGCCGGTACATCATCACCACTTATTCATTTAGATTCAAGTCAGATATCCCAAGAAATGTCTTTAACTGGTCAATTATTTGAAGGACGTGTGTGCTACCTACATCGTGGTTTAAATGATCAGTTGATGGAACAGATTGATGAAGGAGATTATAAACCAATAGACCAGTTATTTTTCATTGTACATGGCATCGGCTCAATATATAATTTAAAAGGACAAGGTTTGATAGAATGTGTTAATGATATGAGGTGAGTGGTACGCATGAGTCGAGCAGGTGCTCGCGAGCACCTCCCAGTGCGTTCAAGCATAGATGTAGGTAGGTTTGTTATCAGTTCATTTCTAGCTCATGTAGTGTAAACGGTTCATACAGCCAAAATGTATCAGTCATACTACATTATAAATTCACGTGTTTTCTTTGGTACGAATGTTAAACTTTGAATATCATATTATGAAGTCAGATGACTGGTAAATTTGTCAAGAGGTACCAAATTTCTCAAGGTTTTACCAGTTAACTGGTATTGAAACCTTATGTAGATTTATCTAGATATTTGCTAAATGAGATATTCTTGACAGATAACAGAGACTTTAGTAAATGTATACCTTATAACTGATCTATACCTGCTTTATAAATGATCATAATTTGTAGGAGCGAAACATCAAATATACAAGTTTGATAGAACATTTTTTTATTTATTTAAACACATAAATATTGGTACAAGGAAGCACCAGATACATGTGCGCCAGACAAATCTCATTCGATTTGTGTGAGGGCTGTGATACTGCCCAGGTGCTCAGACTGAAGCAGGTGGTTTTCTTAGGGGACCACACCCCAGGATGTAATAAATGGTGAAAGTGACCTGTTTTGAACATTGTTTATGTGATACATGTAAGTATTGCTACAGAGAGATCAAATAAATATGCACCATACAATTAGAAAATAAGAGACTGGGAAGTGATAGAAGAAAATGAACATTGTTAAAAAAGCAGCAATTAAGTGAAAATAAGTAAACAATAATACGAATATGATGGAAGAAGCAGTTGCGTTAAGAAGAGTTCAACCAGGAGTTTTCCCAGCCAAAGAACTTCCTCTCATTTTTATTAAGGGGGTAAAGATGTTACATCGCGACCACCACTGGCTTCTATTTTGAGCCATATTTGACAATGTTTCAGGCCACTGTGTCCCATTATTTCCAGAATCCAACTAGGGAATTGTGTGAAACCTGAAGCTGTTAGTCCTGTTCAGCTCTTCATACCATGTTATACACTAACCACCCCTCCACCTTTTCCAACCAGTTCTAGAATTGGCAAATAATCCACGATGTGGAATTCGTTGTAATGATATTCGTAGTACATGCTCAAATCACCTAATTCACTGTTTCAAGATGTTTACACCAATTGAATTACTGTCATTGTACCTGAACCTCAGCATCACTAATATGGTGTTGCGACGGAATGTCGATAATCCTTTATAGACAACGATGATCAAACACAGAGGGTCGCTCAACTTTCTCAATTCCGAGAGACCATTCAGTCTGAAAGATAAATTTAGATTGTCCTAAAGGTGTTAATGAACCTCCCAACCACAGGCTTCCTCGATAGACAATCCCAGAGAACATTCCTGTCCAACGAATGGAAGTCTTCCATGGTATCAAAAAGCACAACGATTGTTGACCTGTAATAAGTATGACGTGTTTTAACGTTTAAACTAGTATGTGAACGTTGAAGTGGGGCAGTTTGAACGGTACATGTGGTTTCAGAAGTGTTGATTCAGAACTCACATTCGGTGGTAGCATTCAACTTCCACCTAGTCGACGAGTTGAAATCGTCTGGATAGGGGAGGTGCTGTTTGAGTTGAAAAATAAACGAATTCACGAATTGGGAATAAAAGGAATAGGCAAGCGATGCAATGTAAAATGGAAACTAGTGTTACCAAATAGTTGTGTGCACGATTGTTGGAATGGTGATTGAAGCGAAAAAAATTTTTCCATTTGTAGTCATCATCTGGTTTGCATGTAGACTAAGATCATGCACAGATACCCGAATTGAACCAGGTTGTTCACTTTGGGATCCACTCCTCGAGCCATTGACCTAAAGGTCTAATCCGCAGAACCGTGGAGGAACGTTACGAAATTCATACTCATGATAGCCGGAGACTAATAATAGGTTCATTAGCCATTTGTTCTATCAGGATCATTTAGCCCATGTGCACCATTGGTTTGTAGTCAGGGTTTACCAACTCTGGATGGATCCTCCGTATTCGCTAACCCGGAGATTTTTTCTAAACAGTTCACCTTAATTTTCGATGTCTTTTTATTTCGTTAGTTGACATATTCCAATTACCTGTGGATTTATTTATTATCTTATTTTAGAAGAACAGCTAAACAGTTGGGTCAAACGCATTTTCCACATCATCCGTATCGTGTGGAATTTTTACCGATTCTTTGGCATGATGAATTACATTCAGATACTGTGACCGGTTTAGACAAACAGTTGGAACAAATCACTCTTGGTAGTATACCGAAATTAAGACAATTTACTAATGATTCATTAATGGATATATTGTTTTATACAAGTTCTAGATATTCACAACTAATCGTAAATACAGTGGCTAGAGAGATTACTAGACTACGTGAATTATTTCTTTCACGTAATCCAAACTTTAGTGTAAGCTGTTGCTCCTTTTTTTTAAGTTTTGTAAAGTTAATAAAGGTGTTTGTAAAAATGGTTTGGCTCTTAGGTTAGTTTTCATAATAGGCTAAAGTAAGTCAGCGAACCGTTGGAAACTGGAAACCTTTGAAGTAATTGCTTATTTTCAGTTTTTTATTCCTTACCATTGCGTACCAAAACCATTGTGTCTTCTAAAGAGTGTCATACCATTTGAAATACTGATCTGGAGTCCAATTTTCTACAATTCCAAATCCATTCAATTGTTGATTGTGACCGTTATTCACTGTCGTCGATGGTATTTGTTTTGTTCCTAGTGGTAGTTGAACTGCTCTTGCCACAGCTTCTCATTTTAGGTCTATAGGAATCTATTTCAGAGATTGTCTCTAGTAATCAGATTATTTAAGTTGTTTTGTTTTCATTGATTAGTTCAACCACAAACAAACGGAAATTCAATCGTCAATAAAAAGGTTGTGTTAGAATGGTATCTGGTGGTCCTTCATGACTCGCTGTTGGGATATAAATATAAAAGCAGAGAATCTACTGAATAATTCACTTAATGAATTAAAAAATAAATCAGAAGTTACTCTAACCATTCAGGATTCACTTAAATCCACTGGATTGAACACACCGTGACTTTTTGGTTTACCCAAAGTTCACGAAACGGCAAAGTGGTTAGTTCGAATCCCAGGTCCCTTACACAAACTGGTAGTCATCAGAAGTGTTCAAGACGTTTTCATTTGCATTTCCAAGGTGGGACATACAAACTGAAATGGGAAACGGGTGATATCTCTATATGTTGCTTCCTTTTTCACCAATGTACCATTAACTGAGACTATTGGCTTTGTGTGCCAACAACTACTTGAAAAACAGATCAATATTGTAATTCCCGAGGTTAACCTCAAAGAATTGCTTCTGAAATGTACAATGAATGTCCATTTTGTCTTTAATAATACATATCATAGACAAATTGATGGGATAGAGATGGGTTCACCTCTAGGTCCTATTCTCGCTGATTTTTTTCTTGCGAAACTGGAAACTGAACCTCTCAGGTTATCGATAAGCTTGACTTTTATTGTCGTCAACTAATGATGCACTTGTTCATGGATTCTCTCTAAACTCTTTGTTTGGTGCCCAGTAATACTACCCAACTGTTTGAACGGTCATAAACAGGCTCGGTTTCGAGTTTGCAACTACGGTTTTAATTGTCTGATTTTCTGACTTCCTAACCACTGCTTCACGTTTATGAGAATTTAATTCCTCTTGCTTACTAATCCGAAATAGGTGGGTTCCTCTTGCAATAATTATGATTTTAATTTTATCTCGCCGGTTGTAAGGCAAAGTAAAACCAAGCACAAGATTTTGTTTTTAAAGGCGAGCAGTTACGCGCTTGAACATTACTGTAAAATAAGTAATCTAACTACGTCTTCATTCTTTACCACTAAGCCTCAATCCATTGAGTATTTTAACAGAATCAATAACTTGTGACATTGATGCATATAGTTTTCGTTTTTACTTTGTTATCGAGCTATCCTAAAGTGACAACTACATGCTATTTAACATTATATCTATTATATGCGGTGAAACACTATAATGATTATGTGGTGTTGTTGATTAGAAAAACAATGGTTTTGTGGTTAACCCATTCACTTACAGCCCCCAAATGCCCCGGTACGTCCAAGAGTGGGGAAAGTCGGTTCTCTCTATGATGCTCTCACATGGCCACGCGTTTATCGCCACCTCCAGGGAAGTCCTACTCTCTGACCTCTCGTGGCATTACTGTTGTTAGAAAACCCTGGTTCCAAACCAATGGTGCACATGGGCTCCAAGATCCTGGAGGAACAAAAAGCATATGAACCAATTGTTGATCACCGGCTACCATGGGACTGCATCTTCCAACGATGCTTCACTGCCTTGTGGATTAGACCTTCAGGTCAAAGGCTCGGAGTGCGCCCCCCCCCTAAGAACACCACCTGCTTCGGTTTTGGCACACGGATAGTATCACAGCACTCACACAAATCAATGATAACTGCTACTGGCCTCATTGTTATTTTGTGGTGCATATGTATTTGATGCCCCATTGCACCAATGTATTTAGTTCGACTTTCTTATGTACTTTACTTGAAACTGTTGTAAAGAAATTGTAATTGTATCCATCATGGGTTTATTTTTAAATTTCAGGGTAATATCTCTATTATCGGTCATAGTTTAGGAGCTGTCATATCATTTGATTTATTATGCCATCAAACCGCTTATAATCCATCATATACTACCACAACTGACCAATCTCCTATAGTATCGTCGTCTACAGTACATAATAATAATACTAGAACAATTTGTAGTACTTTTATTACAGATACAGATTCACAATCGAGAACAATAAATGATGTGAATTATGTTAATGAACTTCTTAGTGAAGTAAAGGTCGACCAGTTTACAGATGATGTGAGTTCTTCCAAAATAACAGCAACTATTTTTCCTGCTGCTACGATAACGAGTGTTACTAGTAGCATTAGTAGCGGTAGTAATGGTTCTACAACTATGGTGACTGATACAAACACTTCTGTGAATATTTCATCATTATCATCTGCCTCATCTTCGTCAACTTGTCCATTGAAAGATCATGCTAATGATGAAAATAAAAGTGAACATAGTACAACTACGTCAGATACGGGACAAAATGATATGGGTGAATGGTCTATTATTGATGATTGCCATCATCGTAACCGTTCAAAATCCAAGTGCAATAATGATGGTAATAATGCAAATAGAAGCCAATCAGAGACAATGCCTATTCTGTCTCTGAGTAACATCAGTCATCTTAACGAAATCTTATTACAAAATGGACTAAATGTTGACCAAACACGTAGTATACTTGAATCAATTATAAAATGGAATAAAATTAATCAACTTGAAAGCAAATCTGTGGAAGATTTAGAAAAGGAAAATAATTATCACGGTATGTTGGCCAATTCATCTACAGTCAATTCAAGTATCACTACTGGGCAAATTTTACCAAACATTGTCACAACTTCAAATTCAATATTGACGTCATTTTGGTTGGAAAATCATTGTTTCTATGCAAACCAGTGCAACAGTAATAATGCTGGATTTGGTATTACATTGCCTAACTATCCTCAGTTAGGCTTTACTATATCTGGCCTATATACATTAGGCTCACCGATACCACTGTTTCTAACTGCACGCGGCATTAAAACGTTGAGTAGCGAATTTCACTTGCCAACATGTTCAACATTTTATAACATATTTCATCCATTTGACCCAGTTGCCTATCGTATGGAAACATTGATTGATTCAGAATTCCAGGTAAAGATTATTGAGTTGTACTTACTATTCCTATTTAGTTGAGACTATTTAATAATATTGTTGTGATTACTATTAAGCGAACTTGCTGGTTTAATTTTGAAGTAATCCCTTGATCAAGGCCCAATTTTAACCTCTCATTAAACCTTGGGGGTTCGTTGGTGTTTGACGAAATTTCCCCATGGATTTAAAAAGCTTGTCTCGCTCTTGTCAGCTTGATCTACTTGTAGTGTAACCGAGATGTCCGTCTGTCAACAAGCAGCAGTCCCGTCAGTGCTACTGTCTGGGAAACATGCCCTGTGAAAAAAGAAGACGTACGTAGGCTGCATGTTTTTTATTTTAAGTATCTTCGAAGCATTTTTCGTGTGTATTGGGACCACTGAGTGAGCAATGCTGAGGTCAGACTCAAGGTGTTATCTGAATAGGGCGAATCAGTTGATGAGGTTGTGAATCTCTTCCGACTGAAGTGACTGAGACATGTATCAAATACGTTTGACCACCGTCTACTTCGACGTGCGATGTCAGCCGCAAGGAAGTTCTTTGGAAAAGAAGAGGCGACCAAATCAACACCATCGACTACTGGTCAAAGTCATTCTAATGGCTTCAGTCTACCTGGTTTGTGTCTGGGCGATCACTACAATCAGTGGTCGATGACGTGACTCAGAATCTGTTGCAGTAGCACAAATAGGTCCATTTCTTCCCCTAAATATTGAGTTTAAAAGAGTTTTATTCCTTTAGTTTTGTTAGTTTCATCTTGTGCTAATGTGGTTGGGCAATTTGAGCTAGCACACCTTTAATCAATTCTATTTTCATTATGACTATTGACCAAAAGTTTGTCTTCTATGCATTACTTATTTCGTACATCTTTCTCACCGTTTTTTTCCACCGTATCATAATTCCTTCAACGAAATAACCTTGATTGTGTTGAACCGAACTTGCTTTTCGGTGCATCACCCGATATGCACTTAGTTAATTATGTGGTTGTTGAAATTATTCAATCTGAATAAATACCACTGAGTGAGTTTAGCCTCCTATAATATCGACAGTTCTCTGGGTGTTAAAACTAATCTGACTCATAGACAGTATTAGCTTTTGCCTATAACACTAAGATCTATGTTCAACTGCGTTGTCTGAGAACGACTTATCAGATAAGTCTTTATTTAAATCTAGTTAGTGTTAGTAGTCATGAGTGCATGTTTTCTTACTAGCATGTTCATATGTGTTGGCATACTCGAATACTGTTGATGTATTGGTGACTGAGATTTCCCAGCTCCCCACACTGTTGGTGGATTTATATTAATTAGTAAGCTCATCGATCTCTGATCCTGATCAAATGTTCACAGAATATCTAGCTATCTGGTTTCGTTTGTGTGTAATCCGATTAAGTCATAACAGTGAACAAGCTGGACTACCAATTGAAGTTAGCAGCTACAATCTGTATCATTATTTATATGTACCCGATGTTTATAAAGGCAAAATGTTTTATATAATATCATTTGTCACAGCAAGACCAGTGATGTTTTTAATTTAACTCCACTCATACAAAATGCTTGTTATATGACTAGACTTGTGCATCATAGTGAGTATATGCATAGAACATCTAATTGCCTGAACAAGGTGAAGAAAGTTTACTTGTATTCAGAAACCTGATAATAATTGGAATTGTTTATTCTTGTTTTTATATTTAACGGTGGTTCTTGTCATTATATTCACTTCATTTCAACAATCTTACGCTCGTATTGACTGATATCACTGTTTGATCTATCTAATCTAGTATTATCGTATTTAGGCGAAAAGGATTATTTGAAAGCGATGACAAAAATAAAAGTCCAAGTATATGAGCATTATATTTAGCTAAAAAGATTTGTAGTTGTAACCATGTGCTACAATGTTAAAAAAATTATTCACAAGATTTCTCTGTTCTTTTCAGTTATTCTTGTTATGTGATGAATGAATCTACTGATCTGACTGATAGAGTCAATGTAATTTGAGAATCAACACACTTTCTTGCAAGTTTCTGTAGTATTTTTTTCCAACTGTCTGTTCCTCATCAGACATACGATTAGTATTTGAGTATTAGACCGTCAGGTTATATTTTGTTCTACGGTCCAATGTAATTACGATGCATGCTTTCTAACACTTGCCCAATCAGGTATGCAGACTAAGTAGATATAGAGTGTATGGGAAGCTGTCTTGCAGGACGGATCTAGGCAGAGACATGTAGAGATTGATCTAGGCTAGAGCAATAGTCCGGTTACTCATCAATATCGCACATTTATCTTGATCTTTTTGTTTATTTCAACTCAGATTTTACCGTGTTACGTTTCTCCAAATTGTATCTAAAAGATTTTTTTCAATATAAAAATCTTGTGAAATGTAACTTTTATTTCGCAAATCAAATTCAATAGATAGTAGTATCTATGTGTCCTTGTAATGTACTTGGTTTAGTAAATTGGGTGTTTGTTATGCAAATTACGAGTTCATGGTGTTTTTTTTAGATTGCTATATGTTTTGTTGGTAAACATGTCAGTAAATTTGTTTAACATGATATGCAGCTACATAAATTAGACATCGGTTAAATAAGACATTGATGTTATGTTTTTTTGGACATATCCGGTTAGTTATAGCTTTCGTATGTCTAAGTTTTACTAGTTATTTCTGTGACAGTGTTACATACACATACATGCTCATGTCATGACTATTTCACCATTCAGATTTCCCAATAAGTTGATCTGCGTTAGTGAGCTGTAAATACTCTACCCGATAACTCGTACACACCTTTGCAAGATTCTCTATGTTATGTAATGAAACTTTATACAGAGCGATGATGTTAATTTCTTGGTACGCTTTAGTAACTTCTTTTTAGCCGTGTGTTCGTTTTCGATTTTTTTCTTAAAGATGAATCTTCACAGTTATCGTTGTTTTTTTTCAGCAAAAATCTGTCCTCATTCCACATCATAAAGGACGCAAACGTATACACTTACAATTGAAAGATAACTTAGCCTGGGTTGGTTCTGAATTAAAAAGTAAATTTTACAATTCCGTTCAATCTACTTGGCGCAGTCTACATGAATTTGCATTGGCTCATAAGTAAGTGAAATTGTGTATGCAGAATGAATACAAATTTATTATATGTATATGCCAATTTCGTGCATATGAAACCATACAAGCCATCAATGGCATTGTATGAGGTTTTCCTATCTGGTTCAACTGTTATTCACGTTCATACATCTTGGCAATTTGGATTTAATGAGGCACAAAGATGCATGATTTACCCAGAATTCATGTTTTTCAGTTAGCAAACTGATAACGAGGACACACTAAACGTCATGTTCGCAACTGGAAACATGTGTTGGCTGTTACTGTTATTACATGCATACAATTTAAACCAAAGTGTAGGATTTATGTACATAATTATGCTGTATGGACTCTGTTCAAGGAATTGCAATACATATTTACAATGATTTCTGTTCCGGACAAAGTCAATTCTCGAATTCTACTCATTTTGAATCGATATATAATCGATGACAAAATTTATCTTTTTATCGGTGATGTTTGAGTTGACATCAATAAAGCTTCAACCACCAAGCCAGTCTTTGTACTTAAGTTAGTGAGACAGAAGGAGGAGTGTTGTTCACGGTACTGAGGTCTGAGTTGCAAATTATTAGCACAGACCATGAACGTCTTATGGTGTTAACAATCATTTCAAATAAGAGAAAGCAATTTTTGAGACAAGGTTAACTAATGCATATTGAACAGAAACTCCTCCGACCGTCTAGGAAAATCAACGGTTCTGCTGGCAGCCACATGTAATTTCCACTGCCATCCTCTGCAATGCTTAAGTAATTGACTAACTAGTAATTTGAAATTTTTCAGTAACTACAGCACAACTGTAAAAATACTGAACGTACACATCAGACCTTCAACCTTGTGTAAACCAAAGTGAGGTTATTTTCAACAGAGAGCAACTTTTAACTTATGCCTTTTTCTTGCTTTTATCATAGTCTTTCTTCTGACCTATTAACTACTATCATTCGATTTACTATTCATAACTTATTCCTGATCTATTATATATAGTCTCCCCTACTCACAGCCACTTTTGGCTTAATCTTATATGATTATTATTTTTCGCTTTATGGTGTGATGTGGTCTGGTCTGCTTGTTTATAGACTACTTATTTTTTGAAATATAATATTCATACAGTAGAATGTGTTTATTGTGTTCTGGCCTCAACGGTTAGGACAAGGTGGGAAGCCACTGTGTCAAGGGTCAATAAAGATTTATAGTTAACTTAAAGCTACTAGTTTTGGTTTCCTTGTCATCGGTTAGCTCAGGTTCAAAGTCATAGAAAGCGATATTCTGATTGATTACTCAGTACAGTTCACCTGTATTTGCATTCGACTCACCAATGTGGTTTCCCCCAGTTTATTCTATGTGCTAATTCCTATACAAAACTATGAGGTGCAAATATTGTCTGAGAGTCAGTGATATTATCCATCTAAAGTTTACTGATAAAGGTAGATTACGTAAATAGAATCAAGTATATATGTTGGCGTATACATCATAAGTCCTGATCCATCGCCTCGCCCAAGTCACCATCCTTAATTACGTTATAAGTGTAATTAAGGAAACCTCACAGTAATCGTCGGTAAGTGGTGTGATAAACTTCCCATATTTGTTTTATAAGACAGCTAGTTTATATCAGTGTCTAGGAAACTCTACATGGCTTGAAATCCATCAGTGTAACGCAAATGTATCTTCTCCTTTTGTTACTGTAGGTTTTAAAGACTGTAATTATTGAGTTTGTCCTCCTATTGTCCATACCACTTAGTATTCTCCGCTCATCAGCTATAATGAATAGGTGGCTGATGAAGTCTTGGCATGGATTCAAAAAGTTCATCCAGTTTTCGCTAGATTTCATCACGTATGGCGTAAGCTATATATCTGTGTGCATATCAAAGAGCAAGTATATTACTCGGCAATTCTCGTTGTTTCGCTTTATGAATGTGAAGTGTGACATTTGAAGGTGGAAGACATGGATATTTTACTAACATCGTACCATATCCACCTTTGAAACATAATTCCCGAGTGTCGAAACAACCAAGTGAGAAATGTTGAAATTAAACTTAGGGTACTAATCAGTTCAGAAGAAAGCTAGGGACGTTGTATATTAATATATGTCATCGGTCCGTCACGTTATTGGCTGTTGTATTGAGCTGCATAGAGATTTACAGACTTTTTAGTTGTCATCCACTCAAGACACTTGATAAGTGGTTGGAAATGTTAGGTAACATAGCTCAAAGTAGTTCGTAGTGGCACTGATGTATTCGTTTTTTTATCTTTATTTGTATCTTTAGTTTCGCGGTAATTTAAGATTTCTTATCCAATCAACTCCTTTTTTATTCTTTATCCTCTGTAAGTGTTATATTTACCGTCATTAATTCAATTACTTCTACTTTGTTAATCATCTTGTTGATTTCATCTCGTTGCTCTGATGTTATATGACTGAATATCGATAATATTCACTTTTAAATTGTAGTAAATTATATATCGCGTTGAACTTTTCAGGTTATCTCCGAAGTAAAACAAATGTAATATCTATTACAATCATCTTTTTGAAAAGTGTCTCTATCGTAGTATGTTTTTTTGTTATATTTCTCAATGATTGAGTGAATTAGTGCCATAATAATGAAACAGACTACACAGAACATATTTTGATAGCAATGGTGACTGTTTCCTTTTCAAGTACATCACGTTTAACGGTGATAGAAATATCAGAAGAAAAGATTTAATGTGTAACTGCGATTAATTATCTATGTTATGTTCCCAGTCTGAAATGTCTTATACAAAACTTGTCGAAATAATTTACTTTGATTAGTCTAATTAAGAGGATAGTTTCATCCAATAAGCTTGCTTAGACTATTTAATAACATAAATTAATCAAAGTTGAAATCATGAGTCGATTGAAGCTAGACCACCATCGAAAACGTGGAAGCACTGGACGGCCGTTTCGTCCTATCATGGGATTCCTCAGCAGTGCGCATCCACGATCCAGCACTCGCGAGATTCGAACCCAGGACCTACCAGTCTCGAGCCAGAGCTCTTAACCGATAGACCACTGAGCCGGCATCCAACGGTGTTAATGTCTAACTTCAACCGATCCACGAAATTGAGCGATCATTCACCAATGTTATCAGTGAGTTGATATCTCCCAACAGACCTGATTGAACTCCAGTGGTCACTGCTTCCCACTAGAACTCCAGGACATATATCTTGAAGTCAGTCACTAGTGAGCATATTATTATAATCAGAAGGGGTTTTGTGGAGATTTCAGTATTTTTCAAAGTTGAAATCATGAGTGCTGGATCGTGGATGCGCATTGTTGAGGAGTCCAATAATAGGACGAAACGGCCTTCCAGGTTTTCCATGGTGTTCTAGCTTCAATCGACTCATGATTTCAACTTTGAAAAATACTGAGATCTCCACAGAACCCCTTATGAATTAATCAGTCAAAAATTTGAATTTGCCAATTAAAAGTCTATTTATCTCGATATTATCTACTTTTTTTAATGGAAACATAAATTATCTCAAATTTCTGTTTATTCATTATGATTATATTGTAGATTTATTAGTGCCCCCGGTGAATTAGGATCTGTTTCCACTGCATATACTTGTGGTAGCAGTTCAAATGAAGATGGATTAGAGGATTATGAAAATGTTTGTAATATTACTGACAATCGTAATGATGTTGTTACAACAACTTATCGTAATTTAACAACTCATGATTTATCTTTTAACAGTCGACTTAATCAAGGTAGACGTATGGATTATGTTTTACAGGTAACTAATTGATGACTTTATAATCCTTATGAGTTTACAGTCTTATGTACTTGATTCGGAGAAGAAAGAAAGAGAATATACATGACCTAGTTTTATGTAATCAGCTCCGGCCTACAGTGTATGTGCAAGGCCTGATAATAATAACTAATTTTCTAAGTTGAAGTAACTGAAACAGACTTCGAACTTGCAATCTATTGATTCAAACTCGAGTGCCCTACTTATGACCCAGTGCTATTAACGGAGTCAAGTTTCAATCCACAGATCACTTAGTTATGAGTTCAGCGCGATCCCACTGTGTCACTTTTATAAATAAAGTATTCATTAGAAGTAAATTACTTAATAAGTACAGGTATAACAAAAATAAAATGTCTACAAATATGTTGAGCTCAAACTACTAAGTAAGATAAAGAGTAATTACTACTGTACACTGTTACAATCAATTTTGAGCGATAATACACCCAACGCTTTCAATCACGAAAGTGTATATTATGTTTAGTAAGCTATAAATATTTATGACAAAAGTTATGTGGTGTTCACTTAAAGTGCGCTTGACCTACAAACTTGGAGATATTTTATGATATTTTTTCTGATAAAATTTTTTTCATAAACTAGGAAGCTACTTTGGAAAGTTTCAATGAGTACCTTTTTGCTCTTACAAGTCATGCAACCTATTGGGATTCAGTGGACACTGTGTTGTTTATACTAACAGAAGCGTATTCCGAAAAAGGTATAGCTCCTATAATGCCTGGTCAAAAGAATATGCCTCAAAATACAATTCATGTAAGAGCATTATCACCTTCTCTTACTTCTGCCGGCTCAACTTCTGTTCATTCTGTGCCTAATGCATCTTCTGTAACAGCAGATTCTTTTGTAAATATAAATAATGGTCACCAAATGTCTGCATCTCAACAATTCGATCATTTGGTTTCCTTATCTGCTATCCACCAAAATCAACCTTATCTTGTTACAACTACTGTAGCTAGTACTGTTTCTTCTATTTCCACGATTTCCAATGTTCAAGGTCAACTGCCACCATCCTTATCATACATGACACCTCCCCCAGTCATTCTCACCACTACCAATGATAATAATACTCACTATATACAAACTACGGTTACCGATTCGTACTACATGGCACCAGTTAGTCAGCTTTATTCCTCTGCGGATCCGCTATCATCTCATATAGCCTCTGACTGTTTAACTCAAAATTATATATCTCCACAAATTTCTGTTTGTATGTCACAAGGTGAGTGCTTTCAACGTTTCCACTGTTTTTTTGTGGTTATTGTCTCTCATACCCAACTGTGAGATTGTTTGCATCTAAGTGTGTGTTTGTGTGCACAATATGTCGTGTGATTGTGTCGTTTCTGTCCATAATTTACTTCTTTGATGATTCCACTGTTATTTGTTTATTGATTTTATCATTGTATTGTCTGTAAGCGTTCACATGTAGTATGCCATAATCTGTTTTTCCGAAACAAGTTTAAGTACATTTGTCAAACCCAAAATACAAAAAACATCGATGAACGGTAGTTTTACACAGTATTTCTTTGAATGGTGAATGTTGATATCAAATTAAGTGAAAAAGAAAACCTCGTTGGTTAACTTTCCTTGTACCACGATGTCGACCAACTACTCTTAACTTTTGCCAATGAAAGGGGAAAGCTTTTCGGCTATTGGTCGTGCAAAACAATTGTTATGTGCAGTCCGTTTTGTAAAGTGGTCACATCATATACTCCGACCGTAGCTGCTACCTTGACATGGTGGTTGGGCCTGTCTATCATGAGCTCGGTGGTCCCAGGATATACGAACAATGCTTTTAAGACACCTATGATCGAATACTAGTAGCCTACAAATATCCTCTACTCTTACCGTCCATGTTGCATAGCCATAAAGTAGGACAGAACGAGGTGCTTCGTAGTAAACCCGCCTTTTGATTGGTAGACGTATATCTCGTTTACGCCTTAAATGACGCAAGCTCGCAAAAGCTAGTCGAACCTTCTGTATCCGTGCTGAAATTTCGTCACACACCATATCACAAAGGCTGATGAGACTCCCAAGATAAGTGAAGCGATCAACACGCTCAACTACTTCATTCCCTATCGTTTATGAGACAGAGTAAACATTTTACATGTTTATGATTTTACTATTTATTTACAAAATTCGTATCTTATTCATTGTCATAAAACACCTGAGTTCTAGTAGTTGTGCCTTGTTTCTAAGCGCACCTCTTCTCCAGAAGGCTTGACCGGATCACCAACTAAGTTTGACTAGAAGAGACAATTGACTGCGTAAAATATTTACCTCAAGTAAAAGAGTATTCTATAACATTGATGACAAAAAACACCCAAAGTTAGAAGCAAGTTCTTATATAATGAGTAAGCGCTGACAACAAGTAGGATAAAACGAGCAAGGCTCAAACGTTATAAAATTAAACGACATATTTGGCCTTAAACCTGGCCACTAATTGGATTATTTATTTGGATATTTAACTGTAAAACCTGAAGAAAATTTATTTGAAAGAATATTGTTTGTCCATATATTTGTGTTTTAATGATGATAGGAGTTTTTTAGCGACTGGGATTTATTTAGTTTCATGTAGCTTGATTTTTTTCCTTTTTAGAGTTTTCAAATACCGCTGGAAATTATTTACAAACACAAAAACAACAACAGTATTCAAATATACCAGCTTATGCTCATCGTAAACAAATTTCTGTCACTAATCCAACTACTAGTTCTTTTACACCTTCCATACTTCCATTTCGTCCAACAACACCGCCAACCTCATCCGTTTTTGTTAATCATCCAATGTCTGTCGTACCATCTACTATCCCTGGTCCACTTTGTACACCTACTAATATATTTATGCCAGCATCAACAATAGGGAAAAATACGTTTTGTCCATCGTCTCAAATGTTTCCACCAGTATCTCAATAACAGCAACAATCACTGCTATGAGTTTGTTTTCAGCTATCTAGCTTATATTGTCAAAAGAAGAGGATTTATGTGAATTTTTATGGTTATGGTTGCTTTTTAGGCTAACAATCTTTCATACAGGTACACAAGATCTAATCTAGAAAATCTTTAGTTATTTCTGTTTTGTTGCTAACTTACCTTTACTCAGCTTCTTCATAATTAAAATAGCTGTGATTAACTTTATTCCACTAGTTTTTTTTACTCATTACTTATCTGTTTTTTTCGATTCCTTTTCGTTTGAACTGTAATGCTAGATGAAGAGAGGACCGTTTTTATTTGTATTGTAATTATTAAATAAGAGAATTTACGTCAGACGGATTTTGACTAACTTTTTTCCATAATGTTACTAACCGATGAATATCAGTTGTAGTGTGAGATAATAAGGTACCTGACTTTCAATCCAACTCGCAAATTAAAGATCAACATTTCACTCTGTCGCTTGATAATGTTTAGATTGTCCCATTCTATTTTTTTTTTTTGAATAATGCTGCTTTGTGTTATATCGGACAGGCAATTAACGTTATCTATTCATTCACTATATGTATACAAAGTGCGGTTCTTTAACTCAGTAGTAATATAGGTTACGTTCTTGCTGTTAAGCGAGTCATGTCAGTCAGTCAGCGACAACGTAGGACCAGGCACATTTATGCATCGGTCCAAGTTGCCATACCTCGTTAGCACAACAAGATGAACACCGGATTCAATAGAAGTAATTAATTTAGTGGTGGTAGTATATAAAGGCCATATTTAAGATATTTTAGATTTTACAACATTTTTTGTTGCTTTACAGACTTAGTGGGTGTAATAAGGACAGGTGGTGACTTTCTCTGTGCACTATTTCCACCTTTTATGATTGTACTGTGCTTCTGTGTATACTCTGTAGTCATTTTGGGAGTATCAGTTGAGTTGGATATTTGCTTGATAACTACCACCCGATATGCCGCTTACGTTGATTCACAAGACTGAGTCTCATTGTTCACTAGGCGCGAAGTGGATGTGTTAGCCGAACTTTGCTTCCTATAGTCTATTAAACTTGATTATACCCTAGCTATATTATACTGGTGTCATAAAAAAACTTCCATGTAAGTAATATAAACTTATTTTGTGATTGGGAATTTTAAATATCACAGGTTGTGAGCAACTAACCATAACCAACTAAAAAAAAGCGAATTCATACTGTTCCACTCGAATCTTTGTTTATACTTTCTTCAAGACTATAAAGGGAAGTATATGTAAGAATAAATCTGGTTAGCATCAGTTGACAGAGGTGGTAGGTCTCTTCTCTTTGGCATGCTTAAATATCTGGGCTACCTGTTCCTAATATTTATACATTTCAACAAGTTACCCAATTCTGTTTGTTTCGACAAGTCATTATGTCTATTTATCGAATAACCTAGTCAGATACATTTATCGAAAGTCTGCGACTTTCCGCTTTACAAAGTACAAAAATGTACAATCTGAAACATCGTGTTGACTGGGAGTATGCTCCAAAAAGAATGAAACTTAATCAGATGTCGATTCCTGAACCACTAACTTTCAAATGTCGATCACTAATTGGCAAGGTAGACTAACTTCAATTTCTACTAAGTCTAAATACATATCCTCATTGTGGATTATTCAGGAACCCTGATTAAATGACTTCCACGACAATTGTTTAACGTCACTACATGGTTTCGGTTCGTCATCTGTCGTCAGTATAGACCAAATAATAAGAATATGGTGGCGGCGACGGTGTATCTAAATTTGCAAATGTGAACTGGTGGCGATGTGACTTTGCATGCTTTAAGTTTTTAAATAAGTTTATCGAAGTTTTCTGACGTTTCGTGACTCAGTGTGAGCTATTTCTTCTTTTGGTTATTTATTCTCTGAAGAAGTGGGTTACACTGAGTAATGAAACGTCGGAAAATCTAATTTTTCTAGTCATTGGGATATTACAAATACATTATTTATTTATAACAATCTACCAATGCTCAATTTATTCGAGATTATCAAATCAAAACTTGGTAATGATGCCAACATTATCGACTGCCTAACTTCAAGATGCCGTCCAAAATACTTGAACAAATACAATCATGTACATGCTACTAAGATTTACGTGACTACAGACTGCTCATAATCTACACTATATTTTCATGAATGAATTCACAGGACATGCTGTTACTGTATTCTATGGTTCACTTTCAATTATATGTGACTAAATTTCCTTCATCGCTTGGTCACTAAAATGTAGTAGATCTTCCAACTCGTTTGGTTGCCCATTAAGACTTAGTTTTCATCAATGCGGTGTGTACATATGGGACTGGTGAAGTATATGGCAAGCTTGGAGAGAGTAAGCTCTTACATCAAACAAATAAATTACTCAGAAGAAAACATCCAAAATATATAAAAACATGTTGCGTACAACTAAATGGGAATCACTTACACAGGACCCATTGGGAAATACTATTGGTGTCGTCACTTGTCATATTAAATTATGTTTTGATACATACTGTACCACTGAATCCAATTTTGTAAGTTTTGATCGACCTGCATCTCCACAAATAACACGATTACGGAGGGTTTTGAGAAGGTAAGAGGTATGTGCGATGTACATTTCCAGAATATACCTTCACTTTTGACTCTATCGCAAGACATCGTCTAATTAAAAAGTTAATCAGCGTGAACACTGACAACCGAATTACCAACTGGTTATGTTGGTTTCTCTTTGGAAGAGAACAGTACACTGCTTGGAGGATAGTGTTCAATGTCACTACTAACTCATGATGTGCTACAAGGGGCTGTTCTCTCACCTCTTATTTTCTCTTTATTTCTCTACATTATCTGTCATTCTCCATAATAAGCACTTTTATTAAGTATACAGATGATCTCACAATATACATATCGATTTCTAGTTTAAAGAATGAGTTCTTGTCTCGTATTGAATGGTGGTCTGTTATTAATAGTCTCGAACTTTATCATTTCAAATGTCAAACTGTTTTTCATCATTCTTTTCCCGTAATTTCGAGAAAATACTTTGCTGTGTTGCAGAGAGTAGTAAAGGCAGTTAGCAGGGTGTGTCGAGGTCATTAATAATGTGTTTTAGATAGGCGTCTAAAGTCGTGCAAACTCTTTGTAGGTGTTATTTTATCCGATGCTAACCATCCACTTCATTTATATCTTTCTCCTTGTGTATCTCCTGGTAGAGCTAGACGTCAATACATCAGAGTCCATGCACACAAGCAAATCTATAAAAGTACTATAATACCTCTTACGTAGCAAATATATTATATGAAGAACAGGTTGTTAAAGTTATTCTCAAATGTTTCTAATTGAAAAAAAGTTTTAAAAATTTAAATCTTACAAAAATATCAAATTACATATAGTTTGTCTACTTGATTTATGTATCTATGTATACAGTCATCAGTTTCTTCCACTCCATTTTTGTGAAATACCTTGTACCAAAGATAGAATACTGAATTAAGCCATTAATAGTTATGTAAATAAAGATCAGTTATTAAATAATATGTGGAATAATATACATTAGATGTGAGTAACGTTGTATGAATAGTAATGTAATAATACCTCACCATATCATCGAATAATCACTGACTAATTAAGTTACAAGTTGATCAAGGTAAAAGGAATGGATGAATATATTTCTTCTGGACGTAAAGCTTCGGCTTTTTGATCCGAGTAGCTAATAATTCAGTCGTTTGAAGGATTTTCAGTCAGATGGATTTGCTGTTAATACTATATATTACTTTAAATGACTGATCTATGCTTGTTGTATGAACCATTTACACTAAATGAGCTAGATATGAACTGTTAACAAATCTACCTACATCTATACTTGAACGCACTGGGAGTTGCTCGTGAGCGCAAAAATATAAATTCCTAGAACACCTGCCAATATAACTTGTTCCATAAGAACATTAGAATTGATAAATACAGCAAGAGATAGCTAGTCTAGTTAATTTACCTTTCAATCTCAGGATGACCAACGGACACGTTGTTTCCCTGCATTAAAATTGGTAATTTTGTTTTAGAATGAACTAAAATTGTAAGTATTACAAGTTGTTAAATCTTAAAACATTCACTCATGGAATACAGGATACATTAAATTGCTAAGAGTGTCATGGGTGTACTATTTTTTGCAATTATTTATTGCAGCGGCCAAAAGTTCAAGAATCCACTCTATGTATCTCTTGTGGCGATGTCTGCAGTTAATCACCCTTGTCAGTGAAGTTCACATATTAACTCTATTGGTCTTGTTTTGTCGTGATTAAATTCTGTTGACTTTTCCTCAATACATTCACCGTAGTTGAGTAGTAAAAAGTAAAAGGTTGTGTTGAAGGTAAATAAACCAGAAGTATACATGGTGTTCGCTCTTTTATCTTATAATAGACTTTGTGATACTGCAGACTGTTGATGATCTGTCAGAATTTATCTACTAATTAGTATAAGATGAATCAGATTTTTCTATCTGATCAGTATACCATGAGATGTTTATACTGAGTTATAGCCTACGGGTAACATTTCTTTATCAACTGTTTCATAAATTTTATCGTGATCAACCTTAACCAAATCGTTGAATTTGATTTGATTTTCATTTGCATAGAACACTTGTAAAAGGTTGTATTGACGGAGTTTTCAGTTGAACACAGATCATCGCTTGTTAGGAAATCATTTGTAAGAGAGATTCTCGCAAAATGTTTAAGGTTTGCATAATTCCTTAGGAGAGTATATTCTTGGTTTATGAGTTGATGTTCACTCTGGGACCCAAACCTGGTACCTTTCATTTCAAACGCGATTGCGTTATCCACTTAGCTACTGAGTTCTGATAGGCACTCGCTTGTGCAGGTATATCCAGCTGACGAATCCCAAATAGGACGAAACGTGCATCTTGGATTCCACTGCTAGCCACTATCCATCTTTGCTTATAAACAAATCGTTTGTTGAGGCTAAATCAGCTGAGGAAGAAATGAGTACGTTAAGAATTTCTTATGAATACACATTCATTTGGTAATTTTTATTTATTGTTTATCAGTGTAATCTATTTCACTGTTATCAATGACTTATAAACTGCCTTAATCAGTTTAATAATTTCACCTGTGCATATAAATATTCATGTATATTCAAATGAAGCCTGATGACGATTCGGTTGAAAACAATATTGTTCGCTTATACGTTACTCTAACTTATAATTGACAGAAAAAAGACAGCACTAATCTGTAAGTGATAGATTTATATGAAGAGGTAAATATCCAAAAGTGGGAGTTCTAAGAAACGTATAGAGGCATTATTAAGTTCTGTGTTACACTAAATCAAATTGATGTTTGGTTGCATGCCTTCGGTTCGTTTTAATGTGTTATCGCTTCTACGGGACCAGAAGCTAAGACGATGGTGCCAAGACAGGAAAATTGAGTATAGGATCACTCACTATCCTATGTTTAAATATCGCTACTTAGATCCAGTTACATGCGACTGATAATTACTAAGCACAACAACAGATGCATCCTGGGTTCGACAGCTGGCCAAATTTCATGTATACTTTATCTTGACAGCTGTAGATGGTCAAGACATTTTATTCTACCGTCACAGGAAAGACAAAAAGTCATTGTCATCAGTAACTCATAGGAATTGTGGAACCAGCGGAAACGAGAGAAAACTAGGTTTCTGTTTAATCTTACTCTTCGGTGATGTTCATACATGATCCTAAATGAGATTAAAAGCAGGATGTTTTCTGCAATTATAATATTGTATAACCATCGATTACGACTATAAGGACATTCAAATTGTTCATAACAATACCTGGAACATTCTCATGAAGAAAGTCTAATATGACAAAACCTCTTTCATTTGAAGGAAACACTACGTCAAAAAATCACTGCAAAGCAACTATTGTGGGGTATTGTTAGAAAATAAAGGAAAAGTTTGAAAATGGAGGGACAAGTGTAAGGTTCGATTTCCTGATTTCCTCTAAGTTTGACGTTTCGGAACATGATTTACTGGATAGATTAAATACTTTTATGAGTTAATCCTCTTGGTCAATATAGCTGAGAAAGTTCTGGACAGGGTAATTTAAGCTCAAATCTCAGCCATCTATAGACGTAGAAAAAGTCTAACCTTATTTCCTCTGTAGAAGTCCGCTTCTACACTAAACAATAAACTTTGCTTATAACTTAAATTTATTTAGCAGCACTAAGCTACTTACAAGTAGACAAATTAATTGAATAAAAATTTACCAAACTGCCTATATCAGGGATTGTTTACACCGCAAAGTTGTGTTGCGGAGGCACCGGTTAACTAGAAGCTCCAAATACATTCACTGACGAGTACTGACTACCAGATATCCGAGATCTATAGGTTTCTGACGACTGTCTACATTTTGTACTCAACGTGCTGAGGAATAAGGAGGCCAGATATGAAAAAGTTTATCATCTTATCCAAAATTTATTAAAGAATTAATCATCATTAGTTAATATTCTTAGTACCAGATCTGTCCGTGGGTGTATGATTTAAACCAGTTATCTTCTAAAGTCGCTCCGAAAATCTTCAAAAACTATAGACGGAACCTTTTTTCTCGTAGGTTGGTTGAGATTAATTTCATTATTCCCATTCAGTGAACCTCTTGGCAGTTCGTAACGCAAGGTCAAATCAACGGAATATAATCCATCATATTATTTTTATAATACATGTTAAGCTACGTATTTCTCAGGGACACCTGAATACAGAAGCGACAGCAAAGGTAAAATAGCTTTCAGTCGAACTTTAACTATATCCCTAAAGACTTCTGAACCAGATCACAACAATTGGAAGAGCGAAAGAAGGTAATTCCTTCCTCTCTCCAATTGACAGTGGAACCGAAAAAAAACACTTTAGTGTTTGTGAGATTATTTATGGTGTTCTTAAGAATCAGCCATTTAGAAAAAGATTTTATAGAGTTGAATTCCACTGCATGTACGGAGTTTAAAATTTTTTTAATAATAATCCTAATATTGAGTTGAAGGCTGATCCCGGGTGAAATTTTTAAAAATGGTGTACGTACCAACAACTATACATTTCCTCGAGACTTTCAAAACTTTCTTTATTTCAAGGTTACTTTCACTGTTTAGCTTCAATGAAGTTTAGTTTTAGTACTGATTGTCGGGTATATGAATCCTCAATTTAAATCATGATTCAACCTCATAAGAAGGTAGTGATTAATTCTTGAACTGATTAATCAGTTTTAATCATTTGATTCTATGGATTTTTACACAAGTTTAAATGATAATCATTAATTAAAAAATTATTTGGAAATCAAGGAAGATTTTGAGTAGTTGTTTTTAATTTCAGTCAATTCAACAGTGGATAACCACAACTACACATACCGCGACACATTCGATAGAATTAAGGAGTTGTAGATCTCATAGACGTTATAAAGTAATCAAGCCACTAATTCAAAATGAAATTTGTTTGAGTCATTTTATAATTTTCACTGATAGTTGCTTACTGTGACAAACGTAGTAGCAACTGAAACTATTTTTATAACAATGTTCATGTTAAATTCATTTAGTACTGTTTGTTTGAATCTTCCCAACTGGTCAGTCTCTAATTGGCATATGTGCATACTGTGCGTATTGCTTCAATACAGCCTTAATTCACAAGCATGGTAAGCAGAGATGGTACATCCAGCTGACGAGTCCTAAATAGGACGAAACGCGCGTTCTGGATTCCACTGCTAGCCACTATCCATCTCTGCTTACAATGTTCATGTTAGTTGTGAATCTCACTGAATCTTATAGTATATGATTATTTCAATAGTACCAGACATTTCAAACTATTTAATGATATAAACATTAATTTTTTTCTGGTGAGCGTTTTTTTAGCGAGTTGGTTTTCTACGGTATGGGGTCGCTAACCCCATGCCCAACCCTCCTCCTTTACCCGGGCTTGGGGCCCGGGAGGAGCTACAGGCGGAGTTACTGTAAACATTACAAGTTCATAAATCAATATTGAGAACTAGGTCGACTATTTTATAAATATGTATTTTGACTTCGTTAGTTAGCGGTTGAGAGAGATGAAAGATATCTTTTGTTCAATGACTATGGGAATTCCGTGATTTTAAGCGTTGTCGATAGATTTCAATCCTGTCAATTACGAGACAGATAACATGAACGATACCGGATAACAGTCGTGCTGTGCCCCTAATTTAAGACAGTTACAGATGTGAACCATTTCGTTGGTATGGAAGTTGAGCATTTGGAAGGAGGCCTGGTTTTGCGTTTGCTATACTGAGAAGCCACAAAGTAGGATGGAACAGTTGCTCAAAGTTCCCTAGTTTCCAATGATTATGTAGCTATAGTCAATTCGTAAGATTGGACGAACCTTCCTTTCAAATGAAAAATATTTTCCTCATCATAGAGAATCATTCATTTAATTAATGTATAACAGTTTCTTCAGTCAACAGAACACTGTTTTACTCCAAATCTAACGTAATTATTTTCCACCAACTGCGTGATTCTTAATTGCTCTATGAAAAAATAGGTTTGGAAAACGGAAGTCTTGTGATGTTGCAAATTCCCTTAGAAATATGGTCAATTTTTCTGAAACTATGAAGAGTGATTTCACTATGAGTAAGTGTCATTAGGATGACGAATTAGTGCCACACAAAACTCAACAGTTATTGTTTGTTATAGTATGAGGCCACTCAATAGAATTGGTACCCGTAAGTGTTCATGGGATTTCATTCTCAAACTTTGGGCTTAACAAACACCACATATGTTGTTAAAATACTGAATTTAAATTTAATTATCCTTATTCCTGATGTCATTCACTTTGCTAAAGCTTTATTTTTCATCACAAACTATATCCAATAGTTTTTAAGCTCATGCTTACATTATCTGGATAATCAAACCATTGAGCTCGAACAATGTAATTTCATTGAAGTCGCCTATTCCTAAGAAACTAGATTAGTATTAAATTTACCTTCTCCTTCTTTAAAGTAATTACTTTTTTTTAAGAATTTTCACAGGGCAAGCAATTCAACTGATAACCCTCTCTGAGAATTTAATTAAATTTGCAAATTTTTCCAACTTAAAATACCCAACAAATTAACAACAACAACAACAATGATAAGGACATAAGAGAAATCAGATAGTCACAATTGTCAATGAGCTCTCACTAGGATGTATACATGCGTACATAGACACACTTAGCCTATCATCATGTCAACAGAATGAATGTAATACAACTGATGGTTGCCGAAAGAAAGAAAGAAAGAAGAAATTTCGCTTTCCGGTAGTTATTTATTTATTTATCCATGTTATTTAAAGATGTGATAAATATAAGATACTTTTGTTTGATTGTTCGTTGGCTTGTCGTTTCTTTTTTGAGTTGATTGGTTGGTTGTTAATAACTACAGGATTATCTAAAGAGAAGAAAAAAACAACTTATCACCAACAATGTGAAGTCTTTTCCTTATCTTATTATATATATGTATATACGTTTTCAAACTGTATATATGAATATGTGTATATTTGCATGTATATGACAGATAACAGGCGATATACACTACACAGGGTGTATTATATGTAAAACAACTAAAGGAAGTGAGTACATCATCCGATTATTACTATTTTAACAACAAGAATGGGAAAAAAAAGAAAAGAAGACAAGATATACATCATTGATTGATGAAATCAATCAGAAGATCATGGTGATCAATGTTAAAAAAAAGAACATAAATGACTTGAAATTAAGAAACTATATCATATATATGTCGATGCATGTGTATATGATGACGACAAAGAGAATAACAGAAAACATTATCAGAAACTCAATTCCTACAAATGGATGATAACTCAATAAATTTCTAAAAACAAAATTTAATGGTCAAGTTGAGTTTGAGAACAAAGTTACAAAATAACTAGCAATAAAGATTTGAAATAAGAATAGATAAAGAGAGAAATGTCTGTTTGAATGATGGAGTGTAATAGGATAAACTCTATTTTCATTATGGACATTCTACTGAATACAATATCATATTGTTCTATGGGAAAATTGTTATCACTATCGAAGACATAAAAAATGATTATGATGATGACCATGTCGGTGATAATAATGATTTATATTGATGTTGTTGTTGTTGTTGATGATGATGATATTTACTAATTAAATGATTTCGAATATGTCTTTCTAAATTAGCTCGTTGTCCAAAACGTTTTAAACAAATATTACAATGAAATGGTCTTTCTTTTTGATGTATATTACGTATATGACGTTGTAAATTAGAACTAATACTAAATGATCTTGGACAATGTATACATTTATATGGTTGTTCACCTGTATGTGTACGTATATGTCTAGTAAGATTAGCTGATCTAGGAAATAATTTACCACAATAATGACATGTATAACGTTCATGTTTTGATGTTAAATGATTTACACATGTTGATAATAATCCTTCTACTACATTAATACTATTTGTTGGTAATACATTATAAACATTTTTTAGTGTTTTATGTTTCTTATGAATATTCTTAATAGTGTTATTACTATTATTATTATTATTATCAATGTTCAATATGCTTTGTGATAGTTTTGTTTTAATTGAACAATTTGAAGAGACATTATTTAAATCTTTATTTATTGTTGTATAAATATTCTTTCGCAAGGATAATGATAACCATTTATTATTATTATTATTATTATTATATTGATTATTATTATTCTTGTAATTTTCATTTGAATTTAATAATTTTAAATAATTTTTTGATTTTTCTAATATTTTTAAATAAATCGATATAAATTCAAATGGAATTAAATTATTATCATTATTATATTGATTATTATTATGATTATTATTTAAATTAATTAATTGATTATAATATATAAATGTATCATTTTTATTATTTTGATTTAGTTGCCTTGGTAACAATAAATCATTATTATTAATTATTGAAGAAAATTTAATTGTTTTATGATTATGTAACATAATCAATGTTAATAATTGTTCAGGTGATGGTATAGTTAATAATGGTAAATTATATAAATCAGTTATTGATTTTAATTGATTTTTTTTTAATGTATAAAACATTTGTAATTTATCTAAATTTGATTTCATTTGTTCAATAAAAGATGATTGTGATAAATAGAATGAATGTTTATCATTATTATTATGATTATTGAATTGTGTTGTTTTAATTGGTATTGATGTTGTCATGGTTAAATTTGATTCATTTGAAATTGTTGAATGATAAGATAAATCTAATGGTAAAGGTTGAAGTAATTGATCATCAATTGAAGTTTTATTGATTTCTTCTGTAACCATGTGTACTATTTTTATTCAAAATGTTGATATATTGTAGAGGATAAGTGAATGGAAATCAGTAATATGGTTATTCTATAAATGTTATATAAAAGAAAGAAAAAAAAACATGAATAATTCTCATATATGATATTCAGTTAAACATAACATAAACATTATAAAATTAAAACGAGAAGAGGTTTTGTTGAGATTTCAGTATTTTTCAAAGTTCAAATCATTAGTCAATTGAAGCTAGACCACCGTGGAAAACCTGGAAGCACTGGACTGCCGTTTCGTCTTATTATGGGACTCCTCAGCAGTGTGCATGACTGACTTCAAGAGATATGTCTTGGAGTTCTAATGAGAAGCAGTGACCAGTGTAGTCTAACCAAGTCTGTTGTGAGATATCAACTCACTGAACGGTTGCTCAACTTTATGAACTGGTTGAAGTTAGACATTAACATCATTGGATGTCGGCCATCACAGTGGTCTATCGGTTAAGGGCTCTGGCGCGAGACTGATAGGTCCTGGGTTCGAATCTCGCGAGTGCGGGATCGTGGATGCGCACTGATTAGGAGTCCCATAATAGGACGAAACGGCCGTCCAGTGCTCTCAGGTTTTCCATAGTGGTCTAGCTTCAATTGACTGATCATTTCAACTATCAAAATTAGAATGTTAGTATCAGTTTTATGAGGAAAATTTCACCTTGAACATTTAAATTAGCTGGAAAATATTATTCACAATTAGTTACGTTAAAAGTTATTTAAATCTTAGTCAAGCAATAAGAATGTAGTTAGATAGAAACTAATTTCATCAACGTCAAAATGAATAAAATCCATGGGTTTGTTTAATGTTGCTTTCCAGAGTTATTCAATAATGAATTTTAAAAAACTGTAACATTGATTTACGTATCTGACAATGTGGCTTAATACAGTTTATCTTTGTAAGAAGTACGTTGATCACTCTTTGATTACAGTAAGTGCATTTTTCCTTGGTCTTGTTATTAAGTGCACACAAGTCACTACAGTATATTGTCTGGTTGATAAATTTACAGTATTGTATCTTCGGTAATACTATTTTATCTCGTAAACGTAATGTGATTTTTACCATTTTGTGTATAGTGTTTCATGCATGTTTCAGGGGATGCTTTCTATTGGAAGTCTGCTTTCAGATGAATTCTCACCGTGTTCAGATGAACAATGATAGATTGTTGATGTTCTCAAGGTGAACCAAAATGTCTTCAGTGTCAGATGCTGTAATCCTTGTCCATGTTCTCATACTGGATCTAGTCAGTTATTAGGGAAAAACTAAAATTATTACAGAAATAGTTCTTGTCTAAATTCTATCTTCATTTCTAACAAAACAGAATCACTGACATATAGGCAAGCATAAACATTATTATCAAAATGTGTAATAGTCAAGTTTTTATATTAATAAGAATGAATTTTATAAATAGGTCACTGCTTATAATGATATTCCGACTATAAATACTGCATTACACTTTGTTATATATCCGCCCAAATTCTTCTCACATCTAGCTCAAATCTTTCTACCTTCTTTTTTTTCTTTAACATAAAACCACAAAAAAAACACAAATTTTTTACACATTCACTATGATAAAAGGAAGGAAAATACTTATTTTCTCAGGTTAAAAAGATTAAATAATTACACACAGATATTACTTTTTAGGTCGTGTCAATAATAGTAACCGTGATATCTTTTTAAACAATTTGGGGGAGGGTGGAGGAAAGATAATTTCGTGTTTCTTTGCCAAAAAAATGATCATCTACTTCCTGGTTTTGTATTGGGTTTCCCTTTTTTTTGTTTCATTGCAGAACGATAATAAGATTACACTGATTTTCTGCGTAATTTGATAAGATGAAAAGAATAATATTGATATCAATAGAACACCCTTTGATGTTTTATGTACAACTAACCATAATTCAAACGGAATTTTAAAAAAAAACTTTTGTTTTTTTTTGGAAGAAAAGAATTCACCTAACGAATAAATTGTTGATAACTGATTCAGGTCAATGTTTATATATGAAGGTACTTAGGTGTTACTGTTTTCCGTTTTTACTGAATCTTATCTCTCAATGTACTATGTAAATCATTCACATATTATTCATTATCTAATACTTGATAAATAGTTGTGTATATCTGAATGTTTGTCTATACAAGTGTATATATATATTCATCACTGGATGATGACAACCATCTTATAAAATAATCTATCCATTTCTCTACTTGAAAATGTCAGATAGTAAACTTCAATGACAGAGTGATAGATGACCTGAAATGTCATCCAATGTTGTAATTACAGTGTTCTTTTCTTTGCGTCTTTTCAATAAGACTCATTTCATTCAAAATTCTTTACTTTTAAAATAATAATAATAAATTTTAATGTTTATCTGATTCACCAGTACATACCCCTAAAAACAAAAAAACAAAAAAAGAAAAAACTTACCGACTTCCTCTTTTCTAAATATTATTAATTTTAGCCTGACCTATCACTTAGAATGATCATTGAACAACAGGCGATTAGATAGTAATTATTTATGTAAATAACTGAAGATCATTATTGTATACAGTGTAGACAAATATGTTAGAGATAAGACTGAACGATATACACAAGTATTTTCAGACCGACTCATTAAGACACAAATTAACCATCACGGTTCCGGTATGCAGTTTTCCAATGAGGAAGTTATTAAATGTAATAAAAAAATTGTTATTATCATTTTGATGGATAAGGGCTATATTAAATAAGGAGTATATTTAAATGAAGTACCAGCATTTTGAGATATGTTTATCTGGTGTGTGTGCGTGCGTGTGTATTTGTATTTATCCACCTTACTACTCGTCTACCAACCTAACTAACTTATTGCTCAGGTGGTTTACTGTCTGATTAGTTGGCATGCCTCAAGAACAAGTAAAAGAATACTTGAGAAAAAAATTTCTTTCTTCATTTCCGGTACTGAGTATCAGGCTATTAATGATATTAGTAGCAATAATAATATAATGATAAGAGTAATTACAGGAAAGAAAAGTGTGTGTTATCTCTTTTGTTTGCTTTCCTGAAAATAAATTTTCTGTTGAAAAAAATCACAACAATAACAACTGAGCAATGAGAATTTCACTAATGATGATCTCTCCTTAATATCAATTAGTTTCATTTCTCTCTTGTTCTCATTTACTGTTTGTTTTACACTTTAAAATTTCTCCATAAATAAGCGCATGTTCATCATGAAATTCATGCCAATTAGTTAAGTCAAATCCATGTTGGGTTTTTTTATATTGTCTACTGAAGTGATGTTGGTAGTGAGACTTTCTGAGACTCATATATGAGTAATGAGGAGAAAACATAACTTACACCACTTATACGTACTTATAAATATATGTTTCTCTTCTAATTATTATTCAGAATTCTCATTTGTTGCGTTTATTTCAATTCTTTAAACCATTATATTATTACAGAGTTACTTCTGCTTTTTTTCCCTAAATTATCTGGGCATTCATCGAACCATACACACCAAATGAACTATAATTAAAGTCCATTTTTATCATTTCTATTACACTTCTGACACCATTCCATTCCCTCTTTTTTTTCAATGTTTCCTTCTGATTTACATCCTATGAAAAAGAGAAAATAATTTTAAAGTAGATACTTTTAATAAAATTAGTTGTAAGGACGGCTCGTTGGTAAACTCTAGGAAGCCTTAAGAAACCCAGAAAGAGCCGGACATATTCCATCCAAACACTGGTAGGGGAATGTTCTAGGATGTCGACGTGTACCTTCCCCATTGGATGGATAAGAAGGACCCCTATGTGCCTATTGGTTGACCGAAATGATGATTTACATTCAGCCAATGACTATAAATACATGAGATTTCTGTACTATATTTTGACACTGATTTGCTGAATAAACTTCTTACTTACTAGTCTTCTGTCTTCTCTCTTGCGACGTTGCGGGTTCAATCGTTCAAGTAGTCTAGTAGTACGCGGCATAGAAAATTTAATGTTTTCAGTGTCAGAATATCAAACTGACTATCGGTGGGTGATAGTAAAAACAACCATTCACAAATAATGAATTTTTCAATTTATTGGATTTTATGAGATTTTGAAAAAAATTTAAGCGGACATAAAAGTTAGGTAAATAGTGTTCAACCGTTAGTGTTTAATACTTTATTCAACTAAATTTACATTAATGCCAAAAGCATGTAGCCTTTTTATGTAGTAAGTCAGACGAAAAACTTCAGTTGACATTAACAAACCATTAGAAGATCAAGAGAGATCAGAGAAAAAAGTTACACCGAAATAATTAACATTTGACACTGTTATTATTTACGAATCTCCAATAGTACAAACCTCATGAAATTCCAATTGGATGTTTAATTGCTGTTCATATCTCAATCTAAACTTAACAGTTTGATATTTGGAAAGATGAAGTTCGAGACTATTAATAACAGACCACCATTCAATACGAGACAAGAACTCATTCTTTAAACTAGAAATCGATATGTATATTGTGAGATCATCTGTATACTTAATAAAAGTGCTTATTATGGAGAATGACAGATAATGTAGAGAAATAAAGAGAAAATAAGAGGTGAGAGAACAGCCCCTTGTGGCACATCATGAGTTAGTAGTGACATTGAACACTATCCTCCAAGCAGTGTACTGTTCTCTTCCAAAGAGAAACCAACATAACCAGTTGGTAATTCGGTTGTCAGTGTTCACGCTGATTAACTCTTTAATTAGACGATGTCTTGCAATAGAGTCAAAAGTGAAGGTATATTCTGGAAATGTACATCGCACATACCTCTTACCTTCTCAAAACCCTCCGTAATCGTGTTATTTGTGGAGATGCAGGTCGATCAAAACTTACAAAATTGGATTCAGTGGTACAGTATGTATCAAAACATAATTTAATATGACAAGTGACGACACCAATAGTATTTCCCAATGGGTCCTGTGTAAGTGATTCCCATTTAGTTGTACGCAACATGTTTTTATATATTTTGGATGTTTTCTTCTGAGTAATTTATTTGTTTGATGTAAGAGCTTACTTTCTCCAAGCTTGCCATATGTATAAT